AAAACTCATTCATAAACAACACTTGCACATTAATATTTTATGTGAACTTTGATATCCTTTATGTTCTGAAAAGAAAATGTATTCTATAATTCACTGCCATTGTCTTTTCCTCTTGGCAGTTTACTTCAGCCTCTGTTGACTTTGCTGCAAAAATGCAAAAATGGTGACTGTCTTCTAAGGTTTTTCATTAAATTTTTTTCCAATTACATTAGATCCACCTGCCTTTAGGAGAAGTAAAAAGAGAGATCAGATGAACTCTTACCTCACTTTTCTAACATTATAATGCCTTACAGAGCTGTCACCCTAAAGGCTGGAGAGATAGTACACAGGATTAGGTGCCTTGCACGTGGCCAATCCAGCCCCGGTCCCTGTCATCTCACATGGTCTCCTGAATACTGCCAGGAATAATTCCTGAGTGCAGAGCCCTGAGCCATGCCATGTGTTGCCCCAAAACAAAACAAAAAGGTATCACACTATGTTACAAACAGGAAATTTACAGTAACACAATCTACATGTCTTTATTCGGAGCTCCTGAATCTTAGTGGTACATATTTATATGCGTGTATCTGTAGTTTTAGCTTTTTGCAGTTTGTCACACATATGTTTGTGTGTCCACGATCACAATGAAGGTACAGAATCATACCATCACAAAAATCCCTCTTGTTTTTTGTTGGTTTTGTAATTACTATGAGACCACAACTGCTCAGGGCTTACTCCTCGCTCTAATGCTCAGGGATCACTCGTGGCAGGCTCAGGGTACCGTATGGGGTGATTGAACTCTGGTTGGATGCATGCAATGCAAAGTGCGTTCCACACTGTACTCTCTAGGCCCCCTCTTGTTTTGAAAAAGATCCATTTTAAATCACTTAATTTTTGTTCTTGTTGAAAGAGAATTAACTAGATGTGTTTTGCATTTGTTTCTTTATGCTGTTTCATTGTGATGAGTAGCCACTGGAATTGAGTTTCTCTGTACTAGATTTTAAATATTCAACCATGCAAAAAAGGGTGTTGACTAATGGGTCAACATTAGACCCATTAGTGACTCATGTTGAAGTGACTAATGAAGAAGTGACTAATGGGTCACTTCTGACTTGTATGAAATTCTCTAGGGGAGAAAATGTTAATCAGACTCTTTGGACGAAGATTTAGTTATGCCCATGTTCCTTAGGTGTGCAAAGACTGAAAGAAACCGATATTTAGAAGAGACTTATTTTCAACTGTTAACTAACCATGTCCAGTTTCGCCACTGGTATTCAGTGTTTTGCTAGAAATTTTAGCCAGAACAATCAGAAGGAAAAACAAAAGGCACCCAAATTTGGAGAAGAGGAAATGAAACTTCCTATTTGTAAATGACATGATCTTAGATGTAGGAAATCGCAAAGAATGTACAGAAACATACTAGAGCTAATAAATTCAGCCAAATTAGAGGGAACAGGGTGGACACACAAGAATTAGTCATGACTGGGCTGGAGCGATAGCACAGCGGGTAGGGCGTTCGCCTTACACGCAGCCAACATGGCCGACCCGAGTTCGATTCCTCCGCCCCTCTCGGAGAGCCCGGCAAGCTACCGAGAGTATTCGATATGCCAGACACAGTAACAACAAGGTCTCCAATGGAGACGTTACTGGGCCCGCTCGAGCAAATCGACGATCAACGGGAGGGCCTTTTTTACCTTTTATCACGTGTAATGAAAATTTGATAGGAAATAAGAAATATCATTTATGGGCATATCTAAAAGAATATAGAGCAGCAAAGTTAAGCATGTTTGAAAGACCACTGGAAGCTATCAAGCATTTCCAGGGCATTAGAGGAGTAGTAAAGTGGGTAGGGCATTTGCTTTGCATGTGGCCGACCCAGGTTTATACCCTAGCATCCCATATGGTCCCCTGAGCACCGCCAGGAGGTTGCTGTGTTCAGAGTCAGGATGAGCACCACCGGGTGTGGTCCCAAACCCTACCCAGGACCCCCCCAAGAGCAGTTCCAGAGATCAAAATGAGTAGACAGACATCTGTGTTCATGAGCAGGAAGACTGCACACATCGAAGACCCCACATTTGCTTGGAGTGGCTTAATTAACTGAAACTGAAGTGCTGGCTGGCATAATTTTACAGGTTCAGTGTAAGCACTACCAAATACCCAGCAGTATTTTTTTTCTTTTTGGGTCACACCTGGCGATGCACAGGGGTTACTCCTGGCTCTGCACTCAGGAGTTAATCCTGGTGGTGCTCAGGGGACCATATGGGATGCTGGGAATCGAACCCGGGTCGGCCGCGTGCAAAGCAAATGCCCTACCTGATGTGCTGTCTCTCCAGCCCCCCCCAGCAGTATTCTTTTACAGAAAAAGGAAAAACCTGTCCTTAAGTTCATGTGAAGCTACATAAGTGGACATTAAAGATGCTAAGTGAGACATGCCAGGCGGAGAACAACAAATACTGTATGATACCACTTTGATATAGAATCTGAAAGAGCCAAACCTGGGACCAAAGGACTCACCAGAGACCACATGCTTCACAAGTACGAGTCTGGGTTTTTTTTTCTTGGCATCAAGATGTAAAATTGAAAACAAAAAACAACAAAAATACTTGTGGAAAACTAAAATGGTTATTACAAAGAGTTAGAGAGTGTGGGTTAGGAAAGCTGTTAAAGATGTGAACTTGCAACAGGTTGATTTTAAAACAATGCTAGAGATTTAGCACACAATAGTGAATATAGACAGTAATATTACAGCCGTTAAACTTACTGTGACTAAAACTTGATTAACGTGTTATTCATCTTAAATATATATAATTATATATTTAAGATAATTATATATTTAAGTTATATGCAATGTCAACTATATTTCAGCTTTAAAAAGGCAACTGCAAATGGTCCCAAATAGCCAAAACTGTCTTGACAAAGGACAAAGTCAGAGGGCTTACATTTCTTGATTTCAATACTTACTACAAAGCTCCCATAATTAAACCAGGTATTAGGGTAGAGCTAATTGTCCATACAGCTCAGTGGAACAATTGAAAATCCAAAAATAAAGCCCTGTATCTATGGTCCTTTGTGGGTTTTTTTTTTTTTGGCTTTTTGGGTCACACTCAGCAATGCTCAGGGGTTACTCATAGCTCAGGAATCACTTCTGGAATTGCTTGGGGGACTATATGGTGTGCTGGGGATCGAACCCAGGTCGGCCATGTGCAAGGCAAACACCCTACCTGCTGTACTATTGCTCCAGCCCCAGTCCTTTTTTTTTTTTTTTTGACAAAGGGTCCAAAATATAATTGGAATGTTGGTGCTGAGACAATAGGATTTCTACATGGAGAAGAATATAGCACCATACACAAAAAGTATTCACTCATGAAAAGGATTGAAGTTCTCGGTCCAGTGAGCTAGCAGGAATTCCAAATTAAATTCACCAGCACTGCAGGGTCCCCGAGCACTGAGTCCAGCATAGCCCTGAGCACCATCAGGTGTGGCCTCCAAACCAATAAATCAGTAAATGGAATGAAGCATTGATACTTGCTCCAACATGGTGAACAAAAAAGTATTATGCTAAATGAAATAAGCCAGGCACTAAAGGACTGTCTTAATTCTAAACAATAGGGCTGGAGCGATAGCACAGCGGTAGGGTGTTTGCTTTGCACGCAGCCAACATAGCCGACCCGAGTTCGATTCCTCCGCACCTCTTGGAGAGCCCGGCAAGCTACTGAGAGTATCTCGCCCGCACGGCAGAGCCTGGCAAGCTACCCGTGACGTATTCGATATGCCGAACACAGTAACAACAAAGTCTCCAATGGAGACATTACTGGGCCCGCTCGAGCAAATCGATGAACAACAGGAGGACAGTGATAGTGACAGTGATCTAGGATAGACCAATTTAGAGAGATTTTTAAAAAAAGAGATCCGGAGTGCTCCTGGGCACAGCCCTCAGAGCACAGCTGGAGCATATGTTCTGTGTGAGGAGGCCTGGCTCCTTCCTGGTACCCGCTGGGGCCCTGAGCACCTCCCACCGTAGCTTCCAGGTCACCTGTCGGGAGTTCACTGGGCACCGTAGGCATGCCCCCTCTCCCAACAGAGATAAAGTAGTGGACCTGCTTATACCTACAAATATTTATATTAAGGAAGGTATCATAAAAAGTTAGAGAAGTGCTTCGGGAGAAAGCATCAAAGTGAACTTTTCCAGAATGCCGGCATGCCAACTGGAGATGCTCAGGTCACGCTGCAAATGGGCTTTCCTGTTGGTTGGTTGTCTTTAAATGTAAGGATCCTTTTGTATCTTTCCATACCAATGATTCAAAACATTCATTACTCTAAACCTTTGGGGAGGTTGCTGGTTTCATACCTGGTGGTGTTCAAGATGCCATTTGCAGTGCCAGGGATCAAACTGGGTTGGCCACATATGGGACAAGTGCCTTACCCCTGTACTATCTCTCTTGTCCAGTATTATAATACAACCTTCTTATTAAAACAAAGGGGACTGCAGTAGTAGTACAGCAGTAGGGCATTTGCCTTGCACGCGGCCAACCTGAATTTAATCCTTGGCATCCTTTATGGTCCCTCCATGCACACCCAGGAGTAATTCCTGAGTGCAGAGCCAGGAGTAACCTGGGTATTGCTGGGTGTGACCCAAAAAAGCAAAAAAAAAAAAAAACTAACCAAAACAAAGGCATTCGGTGACACTGGTGTGTGGACTGAGACCAGGTAAACAAAGCAGTGCTGGTGCCCTGTGTCACTGTGGAGAAAGATGGGGAAAGAATGGCAGGTCTCACTGCACAGTAGGACTGTGAAAAAGCGAAACTGACACGGGATGGTTGAGAGAATTGTGGATGATTGATAACACTGTGCTTGTAAACGAATAAAAGCAAGAAGGAGGAGCATTTGCAGGTGGTACCACGGAGAAGTACAAAAAGGGTAAGGAACTGAATCTAAAATCTTCTTAAAAGAATTAGAACCCTGAGAATGAATTAGCAAGTTTCAAACACTATAGCTAACTCTTCTTTTCCCTTCATGTATAGATTCCTGATGTTGTTATCTGAAGTTGAAAAATCATCCGAAGAAATCATGGAAATAATGGAAAATTTAAGTAGCATACAGGTTTGGAATTCTTTTTTTTTTTTTGCATATAATTGTTCATATTTCTATTCTCCCAGATGAAGAGCAATAAGAGAGAAGCCTCAGGTCTAGAAGCAGTGCAGGGAATATGCTAAATTTGCTTTTCATGGAATTTCTTTAATGAACAGCCCCTGCATTAAACAAATATGTAGGCTGTACTTAGTCTTTTAAAACTAATTTGTTGTTGGTGGGGGGAGGGGAGTGTGGCATTTAGAGTTTTTGGTAGATAAATTCCCTAGCATAGAGTATAACTTTTTCAGATGAAGGAAAGTTGTGTGTATTTCACTAAACTAGTCAATAATATATTTACTTGTGGGGAACATTAGGATAGATAGAGATTAAAGATGACTTTTTTCCCCAGGCTCTAAGGGGCAGTAGAGAGCTTGAAAATCTCATTGGTTTCTCCTGTGCACCACGTTTCTTAAAAAAAGAGTTGAAGAAAACACAAGAGCTAAGTAAGACATTTTTATGAGTTTTTACTGGTGTCTCTGCAGTTCATGTTTGCATACTTAATATACGTTTTAATTTTTTTTTTTAGAGAGAAATTTATTGATATTGACTTATTGCTTTTATAGGTGCTACTTCTGGGGAATGATAGAAGTTATCAAAGAAAAAACCACTTCTCTTTCATCAGTGTTTTATTTGAAGCTTCCTTGAGAACTGGTTTTGCCTTCTTATGAAATGCACTATTTTTGTTGTTGTTGTTTTTGTTTTTAGGCCACATCAGTGGGGCAAAACTACTGACTCTGTGGTCAGGGGTCATTCCTGGCAGTGCTCAGGGGACCATATGGGAGGCCAGGGATTGAACCCAGGTCAGCCACATGCAGGGCAGATGCCCTACCCTCTGTACTATTGCTCTGACCAAGAAGTGCACATTTTTTTTTAATGATATAGTAAATTACAGTTTTCTTTTTTTTTTCTCTTTGGGTCACACCCAGCAATGCAGAGAGGTTACTCCTAGCTCCATATGGGATGCTGGGAATTGAACCTGGGTTGGCCGAGTGCAAGGCAAACCAATGCCCTATCCGCTGTGCTATCACTCGAGCCCCCATTTTCCATTTTTTTTAAAGAGGATATAATTATATTTTAACTCAACACCTATAAAATGTATTACTTCAAATTATGCTTTTTATTTAGTTGTTTCTCTCAATGAGAAATTCTATTCATAGTCCTTGTTCTTTTTTAGGGGGTTGAGGTGGGGTCACACCCAGTGATGCTCAGGACTTGCTCCTGGCTCTGCACTCAGGAATCACTCCTGGCGGTGCTTGGGGAACCATATGGGATATCAGGGAATCAAACCTAGGTTGGCCACATGCCAACCTGCTGTACTGTTGGTCCAACACCAATAGTCCTTATTCTTGAGTTTTGTTTTGTTTTTTTTTCTTTTAGTGATGAAAATAACAAAACAAAAACTGCTTGAGAGGAAGAGCTCAGAACTTGCCAACAAAGGTAGAACTTTTGAAATGTATTCTATAAAGACCTCATTTCAGCAAACATCCTTTAATACATTTTTTTTTCCTCAATGTATTTTACTATGAGTGTATCTTATTTGAAAATTCTGGCATTGCATTTAGCAGTGGACCATATCTCATAATAGGAACATCCCTGACTAGAGTTCGGAGAATATCTTACTCTCATTGGGAATACAGTTTTCAGTTTGATGCTTAAATTTTCTCTTTTTTTTTTTAAGTAAAAGTTCTTTTTGAGAATATTGACAAATAGGGGCAACAGCATGGCAGTTTTCAGTACTGCATTAGGAGATGCAAAACATAAATATTTTGCAGCTGGTGTTCTGAAAACTTTGAGATCATTAAAGATGTCTGATGGACCACAAGCACATGCCTCTGAGCATCTCCAGCCCGGCAAACTAAATGAGCAGCTTGTAAGTTCCCATGGCACGTGCATATTAGCCCTCAGCAAGCAAAATAACCAGGTACCGTAAAGTATTAAAATCTTTAGGGGCTGGAGCAGTAGCACAGCGGGTAGGGCGTTTGCCTTGCATATGGCTGACTCGGGTTCAATTCCCAGCATCCCATATGGTCCCCTGAGCACCACCAGGGGTAATTCCTGAGCGCAGAGCCAGGAGTAACCCCTGTGCATTGCCGGGTGTGACCTAAAAAGCAATAAATAAATAAATAAAATAAGATCTTTAGACAAACCCAAGAGGGATTGTTTTAACCTACTGACAGAAGTGCCATTTAGCTATCTCTGCACACAGAAATAGGCCTCAGGATGGGGAGCCATAATTTAGTCTGAGTTTATGTATTTTTTTTAATACAAATGACTGCTACTTATTACGGGCCTGTTCTCAACACTAGCATCTGATCATCATAGCACCCGTAAAAGATAGCTGTCCATCATTGTCAATCAATATAGATCAGGACCAAAGACTCTAACATTGTTAGGTAACTTGTCCAAAGACACTGCTACTGACGATCAGATCAGAGTACGGGATAATATAAGAGTAACACACTTGGCCTCGCACATAGCCAACCCCAGTTCAGATCCCTGGTACCACATGTGGTTCCCTCACACCAATGCCAGGAGTAAGCCCTGAGCACTACTAGGTATGGGGGGGGGGGGAACTAAAAATTTTTAAGAGCAGTACGTCCAGGTAAAGAGCAGTCTGACCTCAAAACGTGTGACCTTTTTATTTTTACATCTTACCTCTTCCGGAAACAGATAAAATCATTCGGTCATACCAGTCCTCAGTCAGACATAATTGAAGCTGATTCAGTCAGTCTAGAATGTGAGGCTCTTGTGGTTCTTTTTTTTTTGGCGGGCGGCAGGGGGGAGCGAATGGGGGGGGTCACACCCAGCAATGCTTAAGGGTTACTCCTGGCTCTGCACTCAGCAATTACTCCTGGCAGTGCTTGGGGGACCAAATGGGATGCCAGGGATTGAACTCAGGTCGGCCCTGTGCAAGGCAAACGCCCTCGCTACTGTACTATTGCTCTGGCCCCAGGTGAGGCTCTTAAGAACTTGAAAAGGCGTGGTGAGTTTGCAGTGAGTGCTAAGATTCCCGGCTGGTTAGTTCCAGCGTCCAGCGGGGTCACTGCAGGCTGCAGCCCCGGCAGTCTCTAGTGGGCAGTCCTGTGGGGAAGGAGCCAAGCCGGCTTCCTGAGGCTCCCTCATGAGCAACTGATAAAAGTTGATAAAAGTTTACACTTCCTTAGTTAGAAAAGGCTTATACACTGTGTAAATCAATTTCGATTATTTCAGACTCTTGACAGATTTTAGGGGATCATAATGAAAAATTGCATGTTTATCATGATTTTTTGAAAAAATGTAATATCCCAGAACTAATTAGAATTGCACTGTATACACCTTTGAGAATAAGGTAGAATAAATGAGTTGTCTATGCTGATCATAAACTTTTTCCCCCCAAAATATTCCTTCCCTAAGCATTTATTGACATTAAAAATCACTCTATTCCATGTTAAAACAATCTGCTGTCTGTTATTTAGTGTATACTAATTCTTTGTGTGTTTATGCATGATCAGCTTTAAAATTATTCTCTGGTATTATGAGCATTAAATTACTTTTCCCCATATCAGATTTTCCCTGAGGTCTGAGTAGCTAAATGTTATATGTCAGTAGGCAATGTAAGTCATCTTCTATATCTGTTCCTTGGCAAGAGCAGCACTAATTTTTTCTCTCAGGTATTCAAATCTTTACTAGTCTCTCAATCCATTTTCAAATTTTGGAAAGTAATTTGCCTGAATAATTTGAATTTAAATGATAGATTTTTACCGAGTACTCTCCCCTCTTTATTTACTAATGTGTGTTTGATTGGGGGGTGGAAGTGGGGGATGTATTTTTGTTTTTGGAACCACACCTGGCTGTGCTTAGGGTTTACTCTCGGATCTGTGCTCATGGCCCATATGCACTAGTGGCAGATCGAATCCTGGTTGGTAGCTTACGAGACACGTGTCTTACCCCTCTGAGGTCTCTCTGGCCCCACGTGTGTCTTTTGTTTTGGTTAAAGATGATGCGTACCAACACGTTTGCAGATATGGGACTTTTCTTTTTCCAAGTTTGACCTCTTCTCGTTGCACATTTATTTTAACACGATTTTGTTAAATATTTTTGACAGCGCAAGTCAATTTGCTTTTTATTTGGAGATCTAGCCATCATTTAAAAGAACGTTTTCTTTACTCATCATTTACTGTGCCAGAATTGATAATAAACCAGATTGTTTGATTTTTGTTTAATTTGAAACCCAAGAGTTGTTAACATGTTTTTAATCTTTTTAGAAATCTTAATATTTGAAATTACATGCCATAAAAATCAACCCTTTAATACATATTGGATTTGTTTTATTAGGCAATTATGATAAAAGAGTAAACAAGTTGTTTCTCAAAAGAATATCTTCTGATTCTTTTTTCCTTCAGATTTATATAAAAACTTCCTAGAACAGTTAAACAATAGCAGAATTCCAACTCTTATACTGTCATTACCCCCTTTATATTTGTCCTTTGGATTTTTTTGTGTGTGCTAGTTTTTTAAATATCAGTTAAGGGATTTTTTTCAGGACAGATTTATGATTATAAAAATAACACTAATGTTTTAAATAAGTAGACATCTCAACATTTAGAGCTTTATATAACTTATTCAAGAGAAATGTAAAACATATGCGGTCATATACAAATGTACATTGCAACTTTTATTTCAGACGAACCAAACCTTTAAACCAGGAACTGCCTTGATAGAGTTGTGAATAAAAGAGACTTGCTTAATACACATTTCTTAAACAAAGGGGGGTTTTTTCCTTTCTCACTCACTTAGGAAGTGAGCCTAACTTAACTTTCCTTAATAATATTGGTGTTATGACTATTAAGAAAAAGATTAACTGAAAGGTTCTTTTTCTGTTGGATTTGGATCTGAATTTTCATAATTATTTTAAATTTGTTCTGCTGAGATTTAAAGCATATGACCATTCAATGGCTTGATACAAGTGGAATGTCACATTGTCATCACATGTTACGGCATGAAATTTATTTGCTTTCCATAGTCAACCTCCCCTTAGAACGGCTTGACACAAATATTCCCAGTCAATAGATGGCATTCATTATATAGTATTTAGAACCTTTTTTTCCCTGAAGATATTAGAAAATGCCATCATTGTTTGTCTGTGACTAGGACTTCCAGTAAACAAAATGTTTTTGAAAAGAATGTAAGCAAATTGTAAAGCTCTTGCCAAGATACGAAATCTAGGCACTTAGCTTCAGTCCAAAACATATCTTAACTGTCTTGAGAATAATTGTGTAGGTTGAAGTATGCATATTTTAAATGAAAATGTGATCGTCTGAACTTTAGGTTGTTCAAAAAGGTTGATTGTTTCAACTGTTTGTGATAAAAAATATTTCTGAATTTTAAACTTTGGCCTTAAAAAGAAAAGCACTATCTATAATGTCCTGTTTACATAACTTTCTCTGTTCTTCCATCATAAAACTCATCTTTACAGGATTTCAGAGTTTTCAGATTCTTTGACTATACAACAAACTTGACACAACTTCTATCTTAAGACCATGAAATAGTTTGATGCTGCATTTTCATTCTAAAGCCACCCACTGAAGTATTTTTTAACTTAAAGATATGTTGTTCTTTTCCCCCACTCAATCTTGAAAAAATATTCATCGTATCAGCTAAATAATTTTACTCCTGGCAGGCTGCTACCCTTTTCATTCTCTCAATTGTATCTTAACATGAAATAATATTTCTTTTCAAACAAATACTTCAGCAGTAAGGTTTGACGTTTAGACGGGATGAGTTTTAAGAGAAACAACAAAAATTCCCTCTTAAGCTTGAACCTTTTAGATTATCTGGAGGCTGAAAATAGAGAGATTCATTTTGGTGCCACCAGCGCACGTGAACGTGCCCGGTGCCCCTCGCTGTCTTGGATGGGTCCAGCTGTCATGCCGGCCCTCGGCGTGGGCTGTTCTTCCCCCTGATGCTGATGCCCGACTCTCCCTCACACCACCACGCTGTGAGGAATACATTTCAATTCCTTCCTGGAGATTTGTCCTGGCCTTAAGGAAAAACAAACCAGTTTACTGCTTCTCAGAGCCTTTTAAATAATTTCTCCCATGATTTAAATTTCTCTGTACTTCCCGGGAAGTATGATAATTTTTAATCTTTTAAATAATCGGTAAAAATTGTAAAGCATAGACTTGAACTCACTTAGTAGCAATTATGTGTTTAAGAGGTGTAAATAACGTGCTCTCAGGCATTACAAATATCCAGGTGCTCTGTATGTGCTGATGACAACAGAATTGAAACGAAAGACTGTAATAATTCTGACTGGTTTTCTCTGCAAAAGATATTGATTATTTGTGTGTGGTGAGAGATTTGGAAAATTCAATTAAAGGAGTTGTGCAAAGGTTTCATAAATTTTCCTTCTACAGCGTGTACACAGACATTGTTGCGTATTAAATCAATGCAGCACTTCACAATATATTTTCTTTGAAACATAAAAATAAATAACATTTAAACAGTTCTGCTTACTACAGAAACAAATTTTATTTTCTGTAAAGCATTTAGTCATGTGCTATCACTGACTCATACACATTTGCCAGCTGTAACAAATTTTATAGACATTTTCTCCAGAGACATATCTCACATACTATGAATTTTTAAATGAACAAATGGTGAAGAAGGGATGTCAGCAATATAAAAATTGATCAGTTAAAAGATAAAAGCATAAGTAAAGAGATTTGTATGGTAGTCTTAATAGGTTTTATTAAATAAAAATACTATAAGAAGACAGTAATGAACAGACTCAAGACTAACTGTTCTTGAGGGGGAAGAAAAATTATTCTGGCACATTTAGTAGAAATTGGTTTTTTGTCACCTGACAGGTGAACATTTTTTTTTCCACTTTAACTCTTAAGCACAGTCTGAAAAAACCTCTTTTAAAATGAGTTAAATTCTCGAAGTGGATTATGTATATGGAATATCCCCCCCACCCACCACACAGAGATATAATAGTAATAAAGTAGGTCTCTATAGAGTTATGTCATTAATTAGTTAAAAGGGGACTTGGGGCTGGAGCAATAGCACAGTGGGCAGGAGTTTGCCTTGCACGCGGCCGACCCGGGTTCGATTCCCAGCATCCCAGATGGTCCCCTGAGCACCGCCAGGGGTAATTTCTGAGTGCAGAGCCAGGAGTAACCCCTGTGCATCACCAAGTGTGACCCAAAAAGCAAAAAGTAATAATAATAATTTAAAAATAAATAAAAGGGGACTTGGGTAACAGTATGGTGGTTTTTCTCCAGCTCAGGCCTCAGTTGGGAAGGAATCATTTTTATTCACTCCAGCCTTTTGGGGTCACTTCTGCTCTTTCTCTCTGACACTCTTTCTATCCAGCAAACACTTCTCATTCTTTAATATCAACCTCAGAGGTCACCTGTGGAACTCTGCCCTGTTTGCCTAGGTAAAGCGAATTTGCTTCATCTTCTCAGCTTTTCCAACACTTGTCTGGATGTTTCTAGGTGGACCAGGCTGTAGCTTTGTAGAATATCGCAATTATCTGGGTACTGAGCTCTTTCTGGGCCCCACCTCTGCAAACAAACCAAAGTTTTCCCCTCTGTTCCATAGCCCAAGAGCCTCCTACAGAACTTGGATAGAGCATCCAAGGTTGCTTGTTGACTGGTGAATGAAAACATATGGCTACTCGAAGAATTTTTAAGGAATTTTCAAGATCTTTCAAATACTTGTGAATTGGCTATCTCCTTAAATGCCCCATTCATTTAGCGTTTATTGGATGAGCCAAGAACTCTTCTCGCTTTCACACACACTAATAAACAAGCCAAGCTTAGTCCTGCCCTCAGAATTATAGAATCTAATTTGCACATTGGACAAATGATTATCACAATGCATAGAATAAATGAGAGTGACAACTTTGTGTGCAGTTTTTATCCTAAGTGTGTTTGTTTTAGGTGGTTGGTTTTTTTGTTTGTTTGTTTGTTTTTTGCCATCGGGAAGTAAATTACTCCACATTTTATTTTATTTTTCAAAACACTTTATTTCAACACCATGGCTTGTTCCTAATGCAATTGTTAAAGGCTTTTGGTATTCTGGCACCAATCCCACCACCTGAGTGACCTTCCCTCCTTCGTTGTACCCATTTTCTTCTCCCAAGCCTGTCCCCTTAGCAAACTCACAGTAATTTGTTTTATGTTGCTTGTCACAACCAGGTGGCTAAAGGAATTATCAAAAACACTTCGGTAAAATAAAATTCGTGAGACTCGTTAACATCTCATCACGGGGTTGTGAAGTGCTCGTGTGAGGGTTCCCTAAGATGGTTGAGCCTTGTGTGTTCCTGTCTTTGTTTGTTGCGTACAGTTGTCTTCTGAGCTCCTTTCCCCTCTAACTCGGTGCGCTTCCTCCAGAGCTTCAGTATCGTGCAATGTAGGGTTGTCTGGCGGCGGCGTACACATAGGCAGCCTCGCAGCCCAGAAACTTCAGCATCTGTAGAACCGGACCCAGTAGTTGCCAGGCAGTGGCTGCTGTGGCTTCCCGAGGAACGGCGGGGAAGGGGAGGCTTCCTGCCCCCACTCCAAGAAGCCCCCCACCCCCCCAAGTTCTCAGCCTAAACGCTGAGGTACCTAGGATTTTTTTCCTTTTCTTTTTTTAAAACTTTTTTTTAATTGAATCACTATGAGCTAGACACTTACAAAACTGTTCATGATTGGATTTCAGTCATACAGTGTTCCAACACCCATCCACCAGTGTATATTTCCCAGCACCAGTGTCCCAGGTTCCCTACCATCACCCCCCCTCCCTCCCTCCCTCCTTCCCTCCCTCCCTCCCCACCATTTTGGGCATTGTGGTTTGCAATATTGAAACTGAAAGGTTGTCAAGAAAAACCCTTAACCCTCAGATCTTGCCCAGCATGATCATTCCCAGCTATTATTGTCATACTGGTCTCATTATCTCATCTACCCTCAGCCCCCCCCCCCCCCACACACACACACACTTGTGGTACCTGGGATTTTTGCAGCTCCGTGTGCAGAGATTATGGGGCCTTTGGTATCACGGCAGCAGTGGGCTCTGGGTGCAACGGCTGGGGCTTCAGCAGGACGGGAACTGTGCCCACCTGCCTCTCGCGGGTGCCCCAGAGTTTCCCCCAGGAGACAGGTATGTCCTGGAATTTTAGTGGCTTGGCCGGCATCTCCTCAGAGGTTCAGTTGGAGAATCTGAAGAGCAGGGCCAGTGGATGAGTCGACCGAGGGAGGTAGGCCCATCCTAAGTTTCTCAGTGCTTAAAGAAAATCAGGTAAAGCGGTACAATATTGAAGTGGGGTTTGTAGCCTCAAAGATGCTATTTTAAATGTAAATGAAACTGTAGGCACTTGAATTTCATTTGGATTCTGCATTTAGTCAGCTTTATATACTGACAACTTACTTTGAGCTGTTTTCTGAAAAACTTTTCTTTTTCCCCTTGTAGAAGTACATCACATTGACAGCTATGATTTCCTTAAAGCCATCTTAAAGTGAGGTAATGTTTTCACCTTTTTAAGTTAAGTTTAGCCTTATTGAATTTCACTGTTTGGCTCCAGTTGCAAACAGTTTGTTAACATCATCAGATTTTGATATCATCTATTAAGAAAACTGGGCCGTGTGTTTTGAAAATTATTTGTTTGGGCCATGCCCAAGAGTGCTCAGGGACAGTTCCTGACTCTGTGCTCAGGAGTGACCCCTGGTGGTGCTCAGAGGGCAATAGAAAGTTCCCAGGGGTTGAATTGGAGTCAGTAGGATACAGGGGAAGCACCTTACCTCCCGTACTTCTCTCTGGCCCTGAAAAATCTACTCTAATAAACAATAGAAGGATAGTTTGGGGATATGCGTGAGACATTGATGAGGCAAGCTTTTTTTCTTTCTTTTTGGGTCACACCCAGCGATGCACAGGGGTTACTCCTGGCTCTGCACTCAGGAGTTACTACTGGCGGTGCTCAGGGGACCATATGGGATGCTGGGAATCGAACCTGGGTCGGCCGCATGCAAGGCAAACGCCCTACTCGCTGTGCTATCTCTCCAGCCCCCGATGAGGCAAGCTTTAAAAGTCAGAGTATAAAGAGCGGTCTTCCAGGACCAGAGCCATAATATATTGGATGCCTTGCACACTGCTGACCCAGAAACCCATATCATCCCCCGAGCACCACCAGGAGTGATTCCTGAGTGCAGAGCCAGGAGTAACTCCTGAGCATCGCTGGGTGTGACCCAAGGAAGCAAAAAAAAAAAGTTGAAGGGAGGGGGTCTTCCTTGTACACCCTGTTTCATAAGCAGCAAATTAGATCTGTCCCGTGAGTAATAGTTCAATAGGATACCTCTTACTGAATAAGATATGTTAAGTCTCTGAATGTGGAAATGTGTTAAATTGATTAAATCAAAATTCTATATTAATTGTATATTTCCTTCAAAACAATCCTTATATACTTAGCAATGCAGGTAAGATTTTATTTGTATGTATGTAGTTTATTATGACATTTTAGGTAGAAGCCATTGATTGTCATGATATTATGTTAGTATTTATTGTACCTGGTACTAAAGGTTCATATTATGAACTACAATAATCTCAGACATAGTGCCATGAATATCAAGAGTTTTAAAAGTGGGGCCAGAGGGGCTGTAGTGATAGCACAGCGGGTAGGGCATTTGCCTTGCACGCGGCTGACCCTGGTTCGATTCCCAGCATCATCCCATATGGTCACCCGAGCACTGCCAGGAGTAATTCCTGAGTGCATGAGCCAGGAGTTACCCCTGTGGATCGCCGGATGTGACCCAGAAAGGAAAAAAAAAGTGGGGCCAGACAATAGCACAGCAAGTAAGGTGTTTGCCTTGCATGCAGCCAACACAGGTTTGATCTCAGCACCCCATTGTGGTCCCCTGAGCACCGCCAGGAGTAACCTTTCAGCATCGCTGGGTGTGATCCAAAAAGCCAAAATGAAAAAAACCCACAAAGAGTTCTAAACCCATCCAAACGTTGCCTGCCACTTTGATTTGGTTCAGGGTGCCACATCTAGCAGTGCTCAGGGATCCCTGCTGGTGGGACTCAGGCGCGTTGGGTGCGAGAGAACAAGCCCAAGTCAGCCGCATGCCAGGCAAACGCCCTGCTCGCCATCTCTCTCCCGCCCCCTCATGCTGACCTTTCTGGGGACCGTTCATTCTAGCGATATGGCTCAAGACCACACAATTGTCTCTTTATTTCGATACACAAACCGGTTTATCCTCTCCGGCCGGTGCTGCGCGGTGAATCCTGGACCAGCAGCCCTGCACCCCTGCGCCCTCCTCACGGCATGCCCAGCCCTGCCTGCCGCTCGCTCGCATCTCCCTTCCACTTCCGGGCCGTCTCGCCCAGCAATGTGCTGTTTGCCACCCCCGGTCCCTGCGAAGTCCCTTCCCCCTCACCTCTACCATCCTCCAAGCCTCAGCCGCCTTTCAAGACTTGCCTGTCACTCGCCCTGCGCTGGCTTCTGCAGGTCCCCCTGTGTCTAGTCTCTCATGGGTTTCTTTTATGCATTTGTCCAGCTGCCCAGCTGATCGGACTGAGGGGGTGGTAACCCTCTGCCTTTGTCACGGCCCGGTACCATGTGGCCCACCACCCAGCCTGCCCTCTCACATGCCCAGGGTTGCTCCGCTGGGAGCCATTTCCCTCCTGGAGCCTTCATAAAGCAAGGCCCTGGGTCAGGATAGGGTACAAGGCCCTCAAGTGTAATCCCAACACCACGGTGTGGCCCTGCCAGGAGGCCAGACAAGAAACGGAAAAGAGACAAAAAAAAACTGAAGGTCTGGGAGAGATGGGGTGGGGGAGGGGCGTAAGGGGGTAGAGCTGGTGGCTACACATGGTACCAGACTAACAGGGGCAGAGATGAGAGTAGATGCATGATTGCAGCTAGTGTTTTGGGGGGTTAGGGAGACACACCCAGCTCTCAGGATAGGAGAGTGGCTCTCAACAGTGCTCAGGGGACCATACGCTGTTGGGACTGGAACCCAGGCCTCCAACATGCCCGGCCTGTGCCCCGTCAAATTCTCTCTGGAGCTGAGTTTAGCTGGTGTTATCGAGGGATAGAGGAACTCTTCACCTGGAAACAGTGTGGATGGACCGTCGGGAGCTTTACAGTTCACGAAGCTCTGGGTGATGCAGACCTTTTCGTGTGTTGTAATCTGGCCAAGAACATGAGCTGGCTTTGGACCCTCCTTGGCAGGGTTCTGACCAATAGCACGGGCAAGGGAGATGAGTCCAGTGGAGATCCGAGTTTTCACTTGGTTAGTGGAGTAATGAAAGACCACCTGGCCCATTGGAGAGTTTTTGGGGAGCCCAGGGAAACAGCCTCTCTCTCTGTGTCTCTCTCTCTCTCACACACACACTGACTCCAGACCAGGCCTGGCCGGCTCTCCTGCACCTGAGGAAAAAGTTCCGAGCCTCAGCCTTTGTGCGTGGCCACGGGTGAGAGTGGCCTGGTCTCCTGACAAGCGAGGCCCGGTTAGAGGTAGTCTGGGCAGTGGGGGGCATCGCCGTGCTATGCCTGTGGTAAATAGGAACTGAGTCCCGGGTGGGGACTAACTTTGATTGCACAGACCATGGAGAGGAGGGTGGGAGCTCCTGGCTCTAGGGGTTGTCCACAGCGGCCTTCTCAGGCACAGGGGTTCTGCAGCAGCTGCTCTGACCTGGCTTTTCATTGTGCTCTGAGGTAACGCCCTATAGACCCACTCTGGCTGCTGCGCCCCTCTCTTCAGCATTTGTCACGACTGTCACAGTGGCCCAGGTGTTTGTTTTTGCTGGATCCTGAATTTGGCCTCAGACTCTCTCAGCATAGTTTTAGCAGTCACGGTCAGTTGGGGTCACAGGTATTGAACAAACAGGACAGGAACATCTCGACCACTCGGGAAGTGTGTGACCTTAAGGCCTTGGCCTTCCCGAAACTGTCGCTGAAGTGGCATTGATGATATTTACCTTCTGGAATGAGAGGAAATGGCTTAATGAATATTATCTTTCCCCCATACTAACTTCCTAACGTTTGGATACTTTTTTGGTTTAGGGGCCATTCTCGACAGTCCTCCGGGCTTAGTGTTTGGGGTCACTCCCAGAGATAGGGGAGTTGGGAGAATCGTGCAGAGTACATTCTGCCCTGGGCCTTCCCTGTCCCCCCCACCCCCCACACACACACTGACTCTAATGAATGATCATCTTTCTTTCCTTTATAGTAGCAGCTTGAGGGTTGACAGCTGCACGTCAGGAACTTACAAGGAAGGGACCGGGGAGTTGGCTCAAAGGCCTGGAGTGCATGCTTTGCAGGACGCCCTGATTAGATCCCCAGCACTGCATGACCCCCCCCACCCCAGGCAGTGAACCAAGTAGAGTAGCTACTAAGCACCACCAGGTGTAGCCCCCCAAATCATTTAAAAAAAAAAGAAACCTATGAAGATATTAAGTGAATGTAGAGTGTTTGAATCGATAGGAGTCCAGGTCAAGTGAGAATTGGCAGGTTGGTTTCCAGTCAGCAGTCTGTATGTGGGACAGGAAGTCGGCTCTCGGGCCAGAGGGAGCACGCAGGTTCGAGTTCTCATCATGCACGAGACTCAACCCCCAGCACTGTGTGGTCCCTCAAGCACTTCCAGGTTGGTCCCCCTCTAAATAAATAAATAAATAAATAAAAGTTTCAGGACAGTAGCAGGTTCTGGCGGCTCAGGACCCCTCTGCAGGGAAAGGCTGTTGGGCGTGCACAGTGGCTCGGCCTGCCGAGTGCCAGGTGCTGTGAGTTGTGCCTGTGAATGTGTCCTGTGGCAACAGCTTCATTCCAGCTTCAGGGGCTCACACCGTTCCTAGGACCAAGCAGCTGACCTGCTGCCGCCACTAGGAGTCCCCAGAGGGACACAGTCGCTGGGAAGTGCATAAGGTCTCTGTGGAAGGGAGTCTGGCGCCGTGGCTGCCACACAAAGGCCTGTCCCTGCCGCTCCGCAGTCCAGGCGGCTGGAGGTTGGTCCCCTCAGAGTCTCCCTGTAAAGTGGGGTGCTGCCGTCCCCCGGCACGCTGGCAAGGGAACCATGAACGTTGGTAGTTAGTTTTGTTAGATGTCTGCGCAGACATCTAACAAAACTAACTACCAAAGTTCATGGTCAAGTGGATGTTTACGTGCGTCACGAGTCACACAGGAGAAGCATGTGAATCTGGAAGCCGATTCTTAATGATTTAATGTTCGTCTCTCATATCCCACAGGCATCTCCAAGAAATGCACACATGGTGAGCGCCGGCTTCTGCATCTGCCCGATCGTATTTAAGGACACAGAAGAAATGTTTGTAATTAATCTGCCCAGTAAACACCAGATCACAGCACAAGGCAGGTGCAGGTCGAGATAAGATTTCTTGCAGCTAATTTAAACTTTCTGCACACCCCAGTAGATAATCTCAATGTAAATAATACATTTCTTCTGGGCTTTTTAGTGGAAGCTCACACCTAGGAGAGGCTCCTGTATCGTTACATACATTTCTCTGCATTTCTACATACGTTTTAGCATTTTGGATAGACTTATTAATAAAGTGTTTACAAAAATGGTAGCTTCGGTGAAACTGCTCTCTCGAAATGAGTTTTTATTCTAGTCTAGGGAGTACTGTGAGTGTAAGAAGATATAGTTTCAAGGTTTAAAATTTGTCACCTGAGAACAATACCCAAAGACAATAGAAATGAGGGCCAAGAGAACTTGTCCGTGGTGGAAAGCTGGCCACCAAGTAGTTGGGAGAGGGCACTTAGGACAGAGAAGGACCACATGACAGTGATAATTGGGAATAATCACTCTGGACAAGAACGAGGTGCTGAAAGGAGGTAAAGGGGTAGACATAATAACCTTTTAGTAATGGTATTGCAAACCACAGGACCCAAAAGGGGAAAAAAGAGAGACGAAAAGTGGCTGCCATAGAGGTAGGGCTGGGGGGTCAGGAGGGAAACTGGGGACCATTGGTGGTGGGGAAATGTACACTGGTGAAGGAACAAGTGTTGGAACATTATATGACAAATTCAGTCAAACGACTTTGTAACTGTGTATCTCACAGTGATTCATTTTTTTAAATTTTTTTTCCATTTTTTTTTTAATTAAGATATTTTTCATGTCCTGGGCCTGGAGCAGTAGTAAAGAAGGTACTTGCCTGTACACAACAGACCTGGGCTTGATCCCTAATATCACATATGGTACCCCAAACCCTGAGCACAGAGCCAGGAGTAAGCCCTCATCACCAGGTGTGGGCAAAAAAGTCATAATAGCATGCCTCCTTTTATAAAATATTGCAAGGCATTTTTCTGTACTTTTAACATAAAATTGTTTTAAAACAAAGACTACGGAATTTAAAGATAAGACCCTTTCTATGAGGCATTATTTGATCCCCCTCCAAATTTTTTGTTTTATTTGAATCTTTGTGTTTTGCCAAAACACAAGAAACCTACGTTTCTAGGGAACTACAGGGTTAAGAAGATTGGTTTCATATGTTATCCAAGTTGTGTCACTCTGTGCTTAATGCCCTTAAAACAGTTACTGTGTGTTTGGCCTCTTGCTATCCTAAGCTTTTGCATTTCAGGACAGCTGGGTAGGCCAAGAATCATTTCCCAGTTCTCTTCATTGTAGATCAGATGACTCTCACTTTATCGCCCTTGGAGGCCACATGAAGGACAAAGCAGAAAGATACACACACAAAACTAATGTTTATATGGGGGCTGGGGGGCGGAAGAAGCGGGGAGGCACTTGGCCTGGAACTCCCGGGGGCCATAGTAGGAGAGAAGAGAGACCAATTGAGATTTAAGATATCGGAACCCCAACCGCATGGCAATACGGCCCATCCATCTCCTACTCTGCCTATTCAACAGAGGTTTCTCCAGCTGCCTGGACTTTTGTAAATGTTTCCCTCACTTAGTTGTGGTTTGTCATTCGGACAGAATGCTACATCGGGGAATTTTCTCCCCTCCCAAAGGCCTACAGGAAAATGACTTCTCGGTGCCTTTCATATTTGATACATGTGAGACTTGATACGGGCTGTTCTCTTTAAGAAACATACCTATTTGTTGGTAACAGAGAAAACTTATTTCTCTGATCCCTCCCTCCAAAAGGAATTTGCAAATAATTGAGAATAGTTCATCATAGGTACCTAAGTAAAGAACCTGAGAAATATTCAGAGGTTACTCCTGGCTCTGCACTCAGGGAGACACCCTCCCACTGTACTATTGCTCCGGCCCCAAGAACCTAAGAAGTCTTCAGTGTTGTGAAAAAAAACTAAATAAAAACATCCCTTCAGGGGGCCGGAGTGATAGCACAGTGGGTAGGGTGTTTGCCTTGCACGCGGCCGACATGGGTTCAATCCCTGGCATCCCATATGGTCCCCCAGGCACTGCCAGGAGTAATTCCTGAGTGCAGAGCCAGGAATAACCCCTGAGCATCGCTGGGTGTGACCCAAAAAGCAAAAAAAAAAAAAAAAAAATCCCTTCAAGCCCGAAGCCATCTAAGTGCTTTGGAATTGTTTTTGTTCTTACTCATTAAACACATTGGGAATTTTGGAACCTAACTCTTCCAAGTTCAAAGTGAAGTCTCCTTAAATTAATGTCTAATAGATATGAGACACTTAATCTATAGGATAATTGCCACAACTGTCTATAAAAGCTACGATATAGATTGATAGACTAATTGTCTGGACTTTTCTCCTTTATGGGACACCTCTAAGTGGTGCTTAGGGGCTGCACCTGGCAAGCTATTTGGGGCCACTCCCGGGAATGTTTTGGGGAGCCTCAGGGCACCGGTGCTCGAACCTGGGACTCTCACATGCAGAGTCCATGCTCCTGCCCTGTGAGCCATCTCCCTGAACCAGAGAATGTTCTCGTGGACAGAACTTACCTGTAAGATACCATACGTGTGCATTTCTTTTTACGATTGGTCATGTAAGTTTTATTTTTAAACACTGCCCTATTCCAGTTATCTGGGAAGTTAGAATTTCCTCGTTGATTTAAGTCAACCTGCTGTATTAAACGCAAATATGCTTTTACACACACACACAAAAAAAATCTTCACACTCAGACTGTGCGGGCCAGCCAAGCTGCTGACACACGGGCTGAGGATTACAGATGGAGGCCGTGAGCAGCCGTGTTCCGCTGAGGCTGCAGCCATTCAAGGCCGCGCTCGCGCTGACCTGCCCTCCAAGCCTTGATGCACGTTCGCTTTAAGGAAAAAGAAAACTTGTGGTTTTTGCTTCATGTAAACCCCCTTAGGGACACATAACCAATTTGTGGTTCTGTTTAGAACCAAATTTTCTCTCTCTCTCTCTCTCTGTGTGTACTGCTCTGTTTTTAAATATACCACCAGTTTATATGTTGTGATGGCTCTATCATGAAAAAATGAATTTAATAAAAATATTAGGTGGGGCCAGAGTGCTGGTACGGCGGATAGGGCATTTGCCTTGCACACGGGTTACCTGGGTAAGATCCCAGCATCCCCTGCAGTTCCCCGAGCACCACCAGGGGTACTAACTCCTAAGCACAAAGCTAGGAGTAAGCCCTGAGCACCACTGTGTATGTCCCAAAAACAAAAGAATACAAATATTTGGTTGGGACTAGAGAGATAGTATAGGGGTTATTTTGCATGTGGCCGATCCTGGCTCAATTCTTCATACTGCCAAGTATGACCCAAAAGCCCCTTCCCCCAGAAAAAAGGTTAATCAGAAGATTACTATATTTTTATCATAGATACTAAAGAAAACATCTTTACACGAGGAAGTACAACATGGATATAATGTACGATCTTTACGAATTGAACGCCAGTGTACAGATGAAAATCGAGTGCACAGTGCTACAGCATTACAAGGTCTGAATGTTTATGTCAATAGAAATCTTGAGCCGTGTCATAAGAGAAGGATGAAATCCAAATATGGCTGCTTAAGAGAATGACTGGCACTAGAGCTTATAATCAGAGGTCATAAGAATTAAACGTGGAGGCACAGGGTTAAAGTGCTTGCCTTGCAGTGTGGCCAAATGTGGCACCGTATCTGGTCCCCTGAGCACTGCCGGGTGTGGCCCCAAAAGCCAAAAGTTTAACTTGAAATTGCAATTCAAATAAAGGAAAACTCATTGCTTAATTGCAACTAAGTTATGAACATTTTTAGAAGTAAATAAGAACATGGTTTAATTTCTTTGCCTTGTTAAAAAAAAAATCATAGTTGCACATGTAATAAGACATGTTCAAACTCCCAAGTAGTTTAAATTGCTTTTTCACTATAGTTATTAAATACTCAAGATACCAACAATGATTTCTAGGGTGTAGGAAAACTAAATGTGAATTTAAAACAGTGATTTTTCAGTACTGCAGCAATTGTATAGTGGGAAGGGCACATGCCTTGCACACAGCCAACGTGGGTTCATCCTCCACCATCCTATATGGTCCCCTGGGCCCCGCCAGGAATGATTCCTGAGCACAGAACTGGGAATAAGCTGAGTGTGACCCAAAAAATTAATGACTTTCTTTCAAAAGAAGGAGCTAGATTCTACCTGCATTTGCAGATTCCCCCCCGCCCCCCAAGATGTCAAAGTGCATTTCCAAAGAAAAATTTGGGATAAAGGACATTTTTTTCTTATTTTCCTAGTTGAATATTTGTGATTGTTAATAAAACTCTGTCTTGACCATGCAATACACAGCAAATCAATGGCTCTGTGAGGTTTTGGTCTCCACATACATTTATTCTGTGCAGACAACAATGAGGTATCACAGTTTCCTGTAAATCCCTAATTCTTAAGAAAATAATGTCATTTATACATAGCACGATGTTCACAGAACATTTTCACACTTTTCACATTGTCTGGGAAGAGTTAGTTGATTTTCTTCTGATTTCTTCCATATTTGGAGTCCCATATGATTATAATGTTAAAGTACACCCAGAAGAACAGGAAGTGTAAGCAGGATACAAAACACACCAGTACAGCAAATAAGTCTGGTAAATTCTCAGGAGGATCGAGCGTGACGGTCATCAGTGTCAAGAGAACCATCGTGATTACTGAGATAAAAAACTGTAAGGAGAGAAAAAAAACACATCACTGAGTTGTTAGAAAAGATAAATATTTTTTTTGCTTTTTTGGGTCACATCCAGCAATGCTCAGGGGTTGCTCCTGGCTCTGTACTCAGGAATTACTCCAAACAGTGCTTGGGGGACCACATGGGATGCCAGGGATCGAACCCAGGTCGGCCGTGTGCAAGGCAAATGCCCAACCCACTGTCCTATCACTCCAGCCCCAAGATAAAATAATTTAAACATGCTAGTGACTCTGCCTTACACCTGTAAGTAAACAGAATAAAAGGGTTGCAGGGCCAGTCTTCAGATGAATCTCAACATAAGCTGCTTGGGGGTTTGAGAGGTTATATTTGGGGCCACGGGTGCTCACAGCTTACACCTGACTTTGGATCAGGGGTCATACCTGGAGGGGCTCAGAAGACCATATGGGGTCACAGGGACCAAATCTGGTCAGCTGCAAGGCCTCGAGTAAGGCAGCCTTGGTTGGGCACAGTTGGACATGGCCCAAAAATTAAACAAGATTTTAAATTAACCTAAGAACCCACACCCACCTATGAAAAAGTTTTCCTTGGCAAATGGCAAATGATACTCTATAATCACCAAACATTTCCAGCTGAGTTAGTGCCAGAGCAAAACATAGTGAGGCATATGGAAGAAAACAGTCCTGGCCTCAGAGTGTTCCATTTAATTAAGGAAATGCATGAACAAGTTAAATAAAATTCAAGGTCACATTTTATTAGGGTGACTCCTGAGTGCAGAGCCAGGAGTAAGCCCTAAACACACCTGGGTGTGCCCCCACCCCTTCCAAAAAAAACAGGGCCGGAGAGATCGTACAGCGACGATGGCGCTTGCCTTGCATGCGGCTGACCCAAATTCAATTCCCAGCACCCCATTATGCCCAAACACTGCCAGGAGTTATCTCTGAGCACAGAGCCAGGAATAGCACCTGAGCACTGAATAACCAAAATTTAAAAAAGAAGAAAGTAAAAGACCAATCCACAGAATGGGAGAAAATATTCACAAGGCATATTTTGTTGAAATCCACATTAGGGATGTATAAAGAACTGCACAATTCCTAAATAAAAATGGAAGGGGAAAAAAAAACCTCTAAATTCGGCCAAAGAATGTGAACAGGCATTTCACCAGGAAGAGCCAACAAGTGTCTAGTTTAAAGAGATGCTCAGTGGCATCAGTGTAAATCAGAGTCACGGTGACATTCCCTTCAGAGCCACTAGGAAGGCTTAAGTAAGAACAGGAAGTGCCATCAAGGAAGTGCAGAAAGCGATATCAAAGGAAGAATGGTGCTGCCCTTCGGAAACAATCTGTACACAGATCTTCACTGCAGTGAAAGCCACGGCGGCCAGAAAGATGAGGCGCCTAATGCAGCTCTTGGAAAAGCAAACGGGCTTGTCTGTGTAATAGAATCTGGCAGTACAAGGGAAGGAAGTATTGAAACATGCTCCAGTCGAGGTGCACTTCTAACAACATTAAGGGCAGGAAGGCAGTCTCACAAAAGCACGTGTTAATGTAGACACGAGTCCTTGTTAGGGACTCCACTGCCCTGGCAACATTCATCTGCTGATGCCCAAACTCCAGCACATCTGCACCCAGAGAATCTTGGGGAACTGCTCAAGCTTAACTGAGTCTTAAGGTGGGCTCCTAAGCAGACGGGACCAGGATCCTTGCAAGCAAGGGGAGAAGCACAGAGCTCTCTCCCCACAGGCAGGCATGGGAGAGGTCAGAGGGAGCAAGCAAGGCGCCCTTCAGCCCTCGAGCAGGAAGAGAAGTCTTATCTGCACCAGGCCGTTGGAGCCCTGATCATGGGCTTCTTGCCTCTTTGAAGAGAAAATGACTGTCTGCCGCTTGAGCCGTCTGTCAGGGGCATGTTGTTATGGCAACACCAGCAGATTGGAGCATTCCACTTAGAGGGCACATCCAGAGAGAGACACGGAGCTGGGGCAGGAGGGCGGAGGGAGGGGACCCTTCGCAGAGGGGTGCAGGCCGCTGTTTGAGGTTCTGTTGGGGGGCCACACACAGCATGGCTCAGGTGCTTCTCCTGGTTCCGTGCCCCACCCTCTGAGCCATGTATTTCCCTAGACCCAGATGGGTGGATTCTACAGGCGAATTGATGGGAGTTCTGTCCCCCAAAAAAGCTCTAAGGGGGTATAGCATTGGAATCACTGCTTTAAGAAATGGTGCCCGACCAAGTACCAGTCCTTCAAAAGCAAACAACTAACCAAATGTTGGATGGCTCCGGGCAGAATGGTGACCCACGGGAGGTACTTCCTGACAGACATGGAAAAAGGCTTCAGCCGCAGCTCCTCTTCCGAGGTCCGTTCAAATATGGAAAGGCAAGTGGCACAAGCCATGTAGAACCCCACGGCTGTCACCACGGAGGGTAGGAAGAGCTCGTCCTTCAGCAGAAGAGGCAGCATGCTGTGGAAACATCACACGGAAAAAGACCTGTCACCATTGAAAAAATTGGCCCTGAGTTTATTCTGTAAGAACTACCCTGAAAATGTCTTAGAGAAAATTGGGTTTGACTCACCTGAATGTTGAAACAAGTAAAAACCAAGTAGACATAAAAGGAATTTCATGTAAAACTAAGCAGACTGGCCTAAAATGATAAAGAAATATTTTAATGTTACAAAATGTGGCTTCAGCGCTTGTGAAAAACAGAAACACCCTTGATCTACCTGCTTTTGGACAGTTCAAACGAAAACCAAAAGACCCACCAGCAAACCCTTCGTGTGGACCATTTTTGTTTCCCTGCATAATTATCAGAACAAATTAAATGAATTGAGACGAAGATGAGTCAACTCTTCAAAATGCCTGGTGTTTAATAATCAGCTAAGACCAGGTCAAAAGAAACTTTTCATGCTAACTTTAAATATTTCATTAAAACCACAACCATGTGCTAGTTAGAATTAAATATTGTACGTGCAGCTGTAGAGTCAGAACCTGTAAGAATTCATGAAAGCTCATCTGGAGGGTCAGATTATGGGTCACTGAAGAGCAGCCCCCTGAGCTTTGTGTGGGTCAGCCTCTGAGCCTGCAGGGTGCGCCCCCATACACACACAGAGCAATACTACAGTGGGTAGGATGTTTACTTTGCACATGGCCGACTCAGGTGTGATCCCTGGTATCCCGTATGGTCCCCCAAGCATCTCCAGGAGTGATTCCTGAGTGCAGAGCCAGGAGTAACCCCCAAGCATCGCTGGATGTGGCCCAAAAAGAAAAAAAAGAAAGGAGATGACATGTGGAGACATCTAAGGAAGGGAGCTGTTGAAGTCATGAACTTTGCTTATAAATGGATAGACATGGAGACTATCATGCTGAGATGAGTCAGAAAGAGGGACAGACATAGGAGGACTGCACTCATTTGTGCAGTATAAAACAACATAACATAAAGAAGGCTGACACCTAAGGATAGTAGATACATGGGACAGGTAGACTGCTCCATAGCTGGAAGCCTGCCTCACGAGCAAAGGGGAGAAGGCAGCTGGAATAGAGAAGGGATCACTAAGAAAATGATGGTTTGAGGAACCGGTTGGGATGGGAGATGTGTGCAGAAAGTAGATAAAGGACCAAACATGGTAACCTCTCAGTGTCTGTACTGCAAACCATAATGCCCAAAAGTAGAGAGAGAGTATGGGGAATATTGTCTGCCCTGGAGGCAGGGGGAGGGTGGGAATGGGGGGATATTGGTGGTGAGGAATGTGCACTGGTGGAGGGATGGGTGTTTATAACCAAACATGAAAGCTTTTAATTATTTCACTGTGATTAAATAAAATTAAAGAAAAAAAAAAAAGGAAGGGATCTGAGAGAATAAGACTTGATGGTCGAGGCCGAGAGACAGTACAGCCAGGAGGGGACTTGCCTTGCACTCAGCTGACCCCAGTTCAAATCCCAGCACCCCCCAAAATCCCCCAAACCCCACCCACAGTGATCCCTGAGTGCAGAGCTAGGAGTAAGCCCTGTGCACTACTGGGTGTGCTCTCCCACAGACCCCATCCCCCTCGGAAGACGAGATGAAGAGATGTGGAAACAAATGGAATGGAAGCAGCAAGGCTGACGCTCGGGCTGCCGTGAGAGAAACTCCCCTTTGGCAGACAGTTGTTGATCAGCAAACTGAAAATACAGATGAAGAAAGAAAGAAGGCAGTGAAAACTCACTAACTCAGCAATGGTTCTGTTGTTTTGCTTTTTTTCTTTTGTTTTGGGGCCACACACAGCAGTGCTCAGGGGTTACTCATGGCTCTGCACTCAGGAATCACTCCTGAAGGGACTCACGGACCACGCAGGGATGCCAGGAATTGAATCCAGGTCAGCCATGTGCAAGGCCAACACCCTCCCCACTGTGCTATCACTTCAGCCCCCCAGTAACAAGTTTTCGATTTTAAATACTATAATGAGGGAATGGGGGCACTGTGGCGGGGGGAGGCAGACACTGTGATGCTGGGGTGATTTATGTATGAAGCCCTACTGTTAGCAGCTCTATAAATAAAATTTTCAATAAATAAAGTACTGTATTTTAGGGGGTGGCAAGAGTGTCCAGGAGCTAAGAAGGCTCATGTCCTATTGGCTCTTGGGCACTGCTGAGGTGTCCCAGGAACCCTCAGTACTGTGGTACTGGCAGCACTGTGCCCCCAGGCCCTGCATTTAACTGCTCTCCCACAATACAAACAATGTGGTAGAGAATCACCTAGAGGCATCCAGGCCTCCTGGACACCTCCTGGACACCTCCTGGAAACCCCCTCCCCCCGCAGTGAATTAATATATTTTTTAAAAGAAAGTTATGGGGGGGGGGGGGAATGCCTACATCACTCTTGCCCCAGAATATAGGGAGGAGAAGGAAAGAAACAGAGCAAAGAGACATGGGAGAAAGAGAGATGAGAAGCGATGGGGCAGAGGCCAAGGGGACCCAGGGGACATCGGTGATGTTAAGGAATGACAGAGCTTGGGGCTGGAGCCATAGCACAGTGGGGAGGGCGTTTGCCTTGCACGCGGCCAACCCTGGTTCAATTCCCAGCACCCCATATGGTCCCCCGAGCATTGCCAGGAGTAATTCCTGAGTGCAGAGCCAGGAGGAACCCCTGTGCATCACCAGGTATGACCCAAAAAGAAGAAGAAGAAAAATGACAGCTAAATATCCAAACCACAGAGTCAACAACACTGGAATCACGAGACCCAAACTTTAGTAACCAAACAGGAACGATGCTTGTGAACCTGTGAAGACAGCAGGCTAGGGGTGTGTGTGTATGTGTTTGTGTATGTGTTTGTGTATGTGTTTGTGTATGTGTATATGTGTGTGTGTGTGTGTGTGTGTGTGTGTGTTGGGGAGGTGGGGGTAGGTGTAGGGGAGGGGGGAAGGAGTGCCTGGGAGCACTGTGTAAGGAAAGCTGATACTGGTGACGGGATTGGTGATGGACCATTGGATGGCAAAAAGTCAACGATGAATGACTTTGTGATTCACGGGGCTTTCAGAAGTCATATTTTGGGAAAAAAGTAATCAAGAAAAAATAAAAGTTATGAGATAATTCTGGAAAAACTATTTTATGAGATAAGTTCATGCAAACTAATACCGGGGTAGTTTTGTTTTTCATTTACATGATTACATGTAAATAACAAGTTTATTTATAATATGAACATAATAAATATAAAATATATACTTGAAATAGTTTTACTTACAGTGATACCAAAAGAATGGATTTTTCGTGTACTTGGAAGGAAAATAAAAAGAATGACAGTGCACAGCTAACCTTTAAAGAAAAGAAGGAAGAAAGTTTTTTATTTTATATGTAAAATATAATAGCAATTCCATTATGAATGTGAATGAAAATAATTTTAAGTGAAATTTCAAAGTATAATGTAGCTTCTATATAGAAAGAAAATACTGCCATGCATTTTTATATTAAAATCTTACATAAAAAATTATAGTGAGTCTAAAGCTAGACTTAATTACCTAAAACAAACTCACTGAGTCTCAGGAATAAAAAACAAAACAAAATTAAGTCCCTCACACAATAATCATATATTCATCTCTCTAGGAATTCCCGACAATTCAAGGTAAAGGACCAAGCCAGACTCTAGTATTGGGAACACATCCCAAGCACCAAAGACATTAAAAAAAGAAAAATCTCAAAGTAGCACATTAAATCTTCTATGTGTTTAAAATACGTGCATCGACAGAACTCAATGTTTTGCAGAGTAATTATTTCCTATCCAGGTTTTCAGTAGAATATTACGCAGATCAGAAGTTGGAACCAGAGTACAGCAGGGAGGGCTTCTGCCTCAAGTGGCCAACCGGGTTCATTCCCTGGCACCGCATATGGTCCCCTGAGCCCCTCCAGGAGTGACCTCTCAGCACAGAGCCAGTTGTAAGCCCTGAGCACTGCTGGGTGTTGCCTAGAAACAACAGCAACAAAATTGACATTGGCAATGGAGGAGGGGAAAAGTACCTGCCACAGAGGCAGGCTGGGGATTGGGAGACACACTGGGGACAGGTGTTAGAACAATATTCAACTGAAAATCATAAATATCTTTATGACTTTGAAATTCAGTGACTCAATAAAAACAAAAAGAAAAGAAAATTATATTGAATTGGGGGGCGGGGGGAGGCAGGGGACATTGGGCCGCATCCCGTGATGCTCAGGGCTTCATGGTAGGGCTTGAGGGACCATATGGGATGCTGGGGTCAAACCTGGGTCAGCCACAGACAAGGCAAACTCCCTCCCTGCGGTACCTCCAGCTCTCACTCCATCCTTTCTGCTGAAAAGTGGCCTGTTACCAGCAAGAAAGGCCCCAGTGAATAGGGCATGGGGATATTAGTCATTCTCTCTCCTTCAGTACCTAGAAAGGGACCTCACCCAGGGCTGGAGCACTAATAGAGCAGGTAAGGCCCTTGCCTTACACCCAGCCAACTCCAGTTCAATCCCTGGCATCCCATACAATCCCCTGAGTCCTGCCAGGAGTGACTGCTGAGTGCAGAGCCAGGAGTAACCCCTGAGCATCACCGAGTGTGACCCCACCCCCAGAAAAAGAATGATAGTAGAGTGGTAGGGCGTTTGCCTTGCATGCAGCAGACTAATTAGGTTCAATCCCCAGCATTCCCCATATGGTCTCCAAAGCACCGTGAGGAGTAATTCTTGAGTGTAGAGCCAGAAGCAACCCCTAAGCATCACTGGGCGGGGGGAGGAGGGGGGGAAGAGGAGGAGGGACAGTGGGAGGAAGAAAGGGAGTGAGGGAGGGAGGAAAAGAGGGAGGGAGGAAGAGGAGGGAGGGAGGGAGGGAGGGAAGAGAAAAAAGAAAAGAGAAGAAAAAAAGAAAAAAGAACCTGGCCTGGTAGAAGCAATACTCCAATGATGAAATGTGAAGTGCTCTGCTGCTAGATGGACTATTAATTACTCAATTATAGACTTGTATTTAGAATTCGATCTAGGTTGAAAGGAAAACACTTTTAAGTAATCATGAAAACTGTTTTCCATTATAAAAGGAAAGAAAGAGTGGGGATAGGAGGGGGGAGAGGGAGGGAGAGGGAGAGGGAGAGAGACAGCAAGAGAGAGAGAAAGAACGCTCAAAGAGCTGGAGCCAGGCTTGCATGCAGGAGACCTGGGTTCAATCTTCAGTACTGCATGGTCCCAGGGGCACCACCAAGAATGACACCCCCAAACCATAAGGGCCAGGGAGACGGCTCAAGGGCTGGAGCACAAGCTTTGCAAGTGGCAGCCCGGGTTTAACCCCCACTCTCTACTGTCCCTCGAGCACTCAGCTCAGAGCAGCCCCAGGCACCACCAGGTGTGGCTCCAACCCCACCTGGTCCTTCATCAACTCCTTCTGATACCTTGAAGAACATTTTCTAGCGTTTCCCTTACAGGTACTTCTGATAACCTCAGGGGCCATTCCTCAGGGCAGGTGGGCGCTAGCCTCTGACCGGAAATATTCCCTCCTGTCCCCATCTCCACAGCAGGGCTGGCACCTGACGGACCATGTCTGCCGAGAGATGACTGGGTGACTGAGCCGGAGAGCTACGGCCCCGCTTTCCTCTTCTCAGTCCCTCACTGACTAATACGAAGACGACGGGACTGAAAGATGCCGGGCGGGCAAACTAGAGGCCAACGCAGCACCCGGGTATGTCAGATGCTCAATCAATACCCAGTGAAGAAACGAGTGTCTATTTCCCAATCCAATCAATACTGATCAGAACACGTAATTATTTGTATTGGTTTGTTATTGTTTGTTTTAGGGGGGTGTTATTCTGGTTTGGGGGTCACATTCAGCAATGCACAGAGGCTATTCCCAACTCAGTGCTCAGAGGTCACTCTCCAAGGGGCCTGTGGCCCATGCAGTGTCAGAGATTAAATCCGGGACTCCTACATCCAAGGCATGCACTCTACCCCACTGAGCTATCTCTTCTATCCAACTTTTTATATATATATAGCTTTTAAAGATCAATTGGGTTGAGGCTGGCATGATAGTACAGCGGGTAGGGCGTTTGCCTTGCACGCGGCCGACCCGGGTTCGATTCCCAGCATCCCATATGGTCCCCTGAGCACCGCCAGGAGTAACTCCTGAGTGCAGAGCCAGGAGTAACCCTTGTGCATCGCCAGGTGTGACGCAAAAAGCAAAAAAATAAATAAATAAATTTTTTAAAAAATTTAAAAAATAAATAAAGATCAGTTGGAGTAAAAATTATCTAAAATAACAAGAGGGCACAGGGAAAACAAACATTGCAACAAATATTGCACTTTATAAGCACTGTATCATGAGTGGAAAATGCAATGTCTTAAACTATTCAAAATTGGCAAAAATAATAAAATAACAAGAGGGCTAGAGAGATAATACATGGATAAAGGCACATGCCTTGCATACAGCTGACCCTGGTTGAATCCCCAGGTCCACACGTTCAAGACCTCACATTTAACCACCAGGATAATCATCACCAGGCGTGACCCCCCCCCCACCACCCTGGGGGCTCCTGAGCATCACTTAGGAGCCCCCAGAAAAAAAATTTTTTTTAATCTTTTATTTTTTAATGAATCACCGTGAGGTACAATTACAGACTTACAAACTTTCGTGTTTACATTTCAGTCATACAATGACTGAGGAAGAATAGGCACTCGATCAGAAAAAATTTTTTAATGTTTTAACTTATTATTTTTTAATAATTTTTTTAATGGAAAAACTTACCAGTGTAAATTTGAACCCTTCGATTGAGGGCTGTGCCGTTAATTTTACACAAGAAGGAAGTAGGGTCAAAAATGTAAGACAAAAGCTGAAAAATAAAAACATTTAGTTTTCTTTTTTTTTTTTTGTAGAGGCATATAACTAAAACAAAAACCTTTTAACTGTAAATAATAAATAAAATACGATATAAAAGTACTGTGTTACTTACCTGATCATCAGCTGGGTGTGACGTGGCAAAAGATCTTTAATCTTCAGAAAGACACTGAAGCTGCACCAGACGTTAGCTACTTTATCCTGAAATGATATTTGGGGTACACTCTAGCGTAACTGGCATAAATGTGCAACTCCAAAGGAAAGGACGGGGCTGGAGCGATAGCACAGTGGGTAGGGCATTTGCCTTGCACGTGGCCAACCCGGGTTCGAATCCCAGCGTCCCGTATGGTCCCCTGAGCACTGCCAGGAGTAATTCCTGAGTGCAGAGCCAGGAGTAACCCCTGACCATTACCAGGTATGACCCAAAGAAAAAAAAAAGCAAAGAAAAAGATAGCCCGTAATCTCAGAAGGGATTAATTACTGAGATATGCGAAGGTTTTGTCCACAATTGTATAGGTAACCTGATTAAACTCCACGTGTGCACATGAGCACACATACACACTTACCATTTTCCACTTTTCACAATTTGACCCCTATATCATTAACCAACTATAGAGTAAAGAGTTGCCAAAAACACTTAATATTTCTCAAAGAGCTACAACTATGCCTAGACACTGAAGTCATTCATCTTTGGAGACGGTTGTTGCCTGGTGCCCGGGGAACCATGGGAAGCCAAGAATCAACTGGAACCTCCAATCTGCAAAACAAATGCTCCGGGCCTCGTTGTTGGAGATTTTCTTCCTAAGAAATATTTTTCCCTAATTTGTAGCGCACACATTTATCACACATCTGAAATTATTTAGAATAACCTACCAGCCACTTGCAACGACAAGAGCTAAGGGCTAATAAATCAAGACGCTGGAAGGCATTCGCAGTTATGCTAGGATCACTTTCAAAATAAAACGTGTAACCCCAGTGCTCTGCTCCTGAACCCCTTCCTCTGTGCAGCTGTCTGGGTCACAGCTGTGTCAGCATGACGCCCAGAAAGTGACTCTCGCCGACAACTGTGCCCTTCCACTCCCTCTGCAGGACCCAAGACAACTCTGGGCTTGGAGGGCAGTGAGGGAACTCTCGACCCTGTGTGATGCTCATTTTCATCATGACCACTGTAAAGACGGTTAGAGAATTCCGCAACAGAAGGCAAGTGCCTGACCAGGTAGCAGACATGGAGAATAGATCTTTCCTTTATGCATGAGGAAAGGCCAAAGGAACTACAAAAAGGAAGTTAGGGGACAATTTTCAAAGTTTGCATGACAGCTCTTCCAGGCTCTAGACAGAAGTCTGGTCTCCCCAGTTCTGCCCTGGGAGTGGGTATGATCATTGCCTCAGAACTACTGAGGGATGGGGCTGGAGTAATAGCACAGCAGGTAGGGCGTTTGCCTTGCACACGGCTGACCCGGGTTCTATTCCCAGCATCCCATATGGTCCCCTGAGCACCAGCAGAAGTAATTCCTGAGTGCAGAGCCAGGAGTAACCCCTGTGCATCGCTGGGTGTGACCCAAAAAGCAAAAACAAAACAAAACAAAACAAAACAAAAAACAGAACTACTGGGGGGGGGGGGGGGGGGAATCAAAGAAAACCACATGTGACATGCCCAGTAAGTGGCAGGAATGGTCACGTGATTATTTATGAGCATCACGATCACACAATTCACACATTCCCCGTCTCCACCACCACCAAGTGCTTTCTTAAACTATCTCAAAATGCTTCCTCCAGGACAGGGAGATGGCACCAAGGGCTGGAGTATGTGCTTCTCATGGGGGGAGGTCTGTTTCAATCCCTCAAACCACCTGGTCCCCCAGCGCTGACAAATCTGCCCCCCCAGAACCATGCTAGTTCTGTCCTCTTGTAGATCCTTTGAAAGATATACTGTAGCAATTTATATATTCCGTGCTTTTTCTAATTTTATGAAAAGAAATGTTTATTCAAAAGTAAATGATCTATAAATATGTTGTACCTGTCTAACTTTATTAAAGGGCCTTTCTGTTTCCAAAATTATTGGGCTTAATTTAATCGCTAAATCTAAATTATGAAATTATCCATGTAATAAAAGTTTAACAAGAGTGATTAAGCTAGCATTAAATGAAATGAAAGATTCTCATTAAACCATGAATGAGGGTTCCTTAATGCATAAGAAATCACGAGCTCTTTCCGAAACAAACATGATTATTAGCCTAACAAATACTTTCCTAAGACTAAAATGAAAAGATAAAACTTAAAAAAAAAGAGGAGCTGGAGTGATAGTACAGTGGGTAGGGCATTTGCCTTGCACGTCGCCGACCCTGGTTCAATTCCCAGCATCCCATTTGGTCCCCAGAGCACTGCCAGGAGTGAATCCTGAGTGCATGAGCCAGGAGCAACTCCTGTGCATTGCCAGGCATGACCCAAAAGGAGAGAGGGAGAGGGAAAGGGAGAGGGAGAGGGAGACAGAGAGACAGAGAGAGAGAGAGACAGAGAGAGAGAGAGAGAGAGAGAGAGAGAGAGAGGAAAGAGAAAGAGAGAGAGAAAAAGAGAACTGTTAACTGCAGCTACACGCCCCTGCTTCTTCATGAATCCTGCTAGGAAAGAACAAGGAAATGGCAGGTCTCCATACACATGATCCCATCACATATGGACTAGAAAAGGCCTCTGAGCAAGTAACTAACAAGGAATGCCAGAGAGGAGAGGGGCTGAGGTTCCCACTCCTCGTGGGCCTTCCGCAGGAACTCGCCAGCGTTCTCAGGGAAGGTGCTAAGAGGAAGTAGCAGGGAAGTTGAGACACATGCCTCGAACAAGCCACGGTCCACGGGGAAGAGTCTTCTGAGGATCTGCAGGCTCTGTTCCTTTTCCGTGAAGAACGGCAGCCAGCAGAGAGCGAAGGAACCCACGACAGTACACACTAGCTTCATCAACAGCACCAACCTAGAACGAGAAATGCAGGGGGCCAGGGAGAGAGGGTCTAACTTTATCAACCTGAAGCTCCTGAGGAACAGGAAGTGTGTAAATGTGAGCGAATGACAAATCTGTGCTACCAACAGGGGCCATATGTGGAAGTCTCAGGGCCAGGGATGTTGCTTGCACGCGTGAGACCCTGGGTTCATGCCCCAGAACTGAAAAAAATAAACAGAAGCCAGAGCAATAGTACAGCGGGGAAGGCTTTTGCCTTGCATGCAGCCAACCCAGGTTCAATCCCCGGCATCCCATATGGTCCCCTGAGCACCACCGGAAGTAATTCCTGAGTGCACAGCCAGGAGTGAACCCTGAGCATTGCTAGGAGTGACCCAAAAAAAGCCAAAAATTAAATAAATAAATTTTTAAATAATCAGGAGACAGTGATCGACCCAAGTCCCAGATAAGTCCTAACTTAAATGTCTAATCTAACTTTGCATGCAACATGGAAGGAAAATGCTAAATCACAAGATACATTTCTATTAAGTATCTAGTATAATAATGCTTTCAAAGGGACAACAGTCCATACCATTGCTTTTTGTTTTGTGGTCACACCAAGCAGAGCTCAGGGATCACCCTGGCAGAGCTCGATGGACCACAGACAGTGCCTAGGATTAGAACCAGGGTTGGTGAGATGCAAGGCAAGAACCCCTGGACTATCTCTCCTGCGCCTGCCCCCCCCCCCCCCAACAACAGCAATGCTTTATCAAGCCAATCCACACTGCCTCCAGAAAATGTACGTACATGAATCAAGAAGATTTCTCTAGGAAAACTTAAAGCCAAAGAGAGTAACAAAGAAGGTGACTTCTCTTCTCCAACTCACTACAGAGTTGACACATTACTAAGAAACCCACAAAAGACAAAATTCTCTACCGACCCTGCCGCCGGCGCCCCTGAATGCTGGTATTTAAAAATCACTCACCCTTTTCCTTGGATGCCTTGTTTAAGGCACTTGCCAAGTAAGAAGCAGAAAAACGGCAAGGCGTGGTAAAGTTCCATCTGTTTGTAATTTAAAGCTAAGCAAAATGCCAGTGATCCGAGCACGTTCCAGTCACAAGATACTCCAAGAACACCCCACAAAGCAAAGCCGAGACTCACAGAATTATATATGTGCCTGCGTCAAGGAAATCATTTCGCTAATTGGAGGAGATTTTGTCTTTTGTACAGTGTATTTACTTGATCTTCCAATATATCTATAGTAAAGGCAATTTATAAACAGAAACGGAAAGAACTGAAATGACAAGTAATTCAAAGGGATATATAAGGCTGTAAATTATAATACATCTGCCAAACAGACCATCTCATTTGCTGGGGTTAAAAGAGCTGTGAGGAGAGAGCACAAAAAAAAAAATGTGTTTCTGCTAATTATTTTGCAATAATATTAAAACAACATGCCAACGCCTGTATTTTCACCCAATCACCTCTCTCTCTCCCCTCATATCTTTCTAAGTGAAATTTCTTGAAATAAAGCTATTTCTACTTCAGTTAAAAAATAAAATATGGGGCTGGAGCAATAGTACAGTGGGTAGGTAGGATGCTTCCCTTGCACATAGCCAGCCCAGGTTCTATTCCCGGCACCACATACAGTTCCCTAAACCCCACCATGAGTGATCCCTGAGCTCAGAATCAGGAGTAAGCCCTGAGCACAGGAAGGAAGGAAGGAAGGAAGAGAGGAAGGGAGGGAGGGAGGGAGGCTCCCCAGGTGGTACAGTCAGACACTCCCAACCCCACACACACCCGCCACCTTCTCTCCTGTGCAAAAACTACTTGGAAACCAAAAACACAAATCCCCCAGGCAACGAAAGAATGGACAGAGAATTAACTCTCTGGGGCAACGGTGGACAAGATGAACTAAAGTAAGACCCTCCACATTCAAGTAAGATCGTCCATATTCCGAAAGATGCCCAAGTCGGGGGTCCAGGAATGGCTCTGTGGTGGAGGGTCTGCTTGGCAAGGGTCAGACGAAAGAGACCTTCTGTGCCCATGTGACTCCAGAGACTGAACTCCCCCAAGCCGTGACTAGAGTAGGAACAGGTCCCCCACCCCAGCAGCAACCACAACTCAGGACAAAAGTATAGGGGGCACCACGACCAAGCATCTGTGACTCCCCAGCCCTGCTGTGAGCACCCAGCAGGATAGGTGCAAACACTGAACAGCAAAAGAAGTTGGGGCAGAGAGGGGCCAGGGAGACTCCATTCAGCCTCCATTCAGCTCTCACACTGTTGCTAAGGGGAGTGTTAATGGGGGCATGTCAGGCTGAAAAGCAATTTGTAGCCTGTAATCATAATAATAATGATAATGATAATATTGGGGGGGGGGGGGGTGTATGGCTCAGCAGGAGGGCCCGTGCCTTGTATGTGGGAGTTCCTCGGGCTTAAAGCCCAGCACAAGCAAAGCAAAAAAAAAAAAAAAAAAAAAAAAGAATGGGGCTGGAGCAATAGCACAGCAGGGAGGGCCTTTGCCTTGCACCCGGCCGACCCGGGTTCGTTTCCCAGCATCCCATATTGTCCCCCAAGCACTGTGCATCACCGGGTATGACCCAAAAGGGAAAAAAATAGCAAAGCAATTGGGGATGCTCTCAAATTAAACCCGTACATGCAAGCTCGCCATGCAGGGTTGCTGCCCACCTTGCATGAGGGAGGCTCTGGGTTCAATCCATGGCATGACACACGTACGACAAGAACTGGAGAGTATCCAAGGCCGCACTGCCATTATGGCCCAGTCCTGGAAATCACGCCAATGCCTACCAGGAATAAAATGGAGTATTTCCACGTCACAGAGTATCAGAAGGCAAGGAAAGTGGTCAGGTCACTGCCCCATACAACGACATGAGGAACTCTCACAAAACGTATGTGTTTGGAGTGAGTGGGAGAAAATCGGGCATGGTCACCCACCAAGTGCCCGCACTGGGTCAACTCTTCGGCATGCAAATGCTAAAGAATGCCTGCTCTGTCTCCTTCACAGAAAGCTCAGGTCAAGAGAAAAAACAAAACCGAAACACCAGCAGTTGGGATGTGGCTGCCTTTGGGCAAGGAAGAAGAAGCAGGTGGGAGGGCCACCAGGGCTGTTTTGAGTACCAGGAATCCTCTATTTCCTGATGTGGTAACAGGCTGCCAGTCCACCAGGCTGTAAATTCTAGATACAAGTGAAATTTATCAAAGCTTTGGTCACACCCGGTGATGCTCAGGGGTTTACTCCTGGCTCTGCACTCAGGAATCACTCCTGGTGGTGCTGGGAGACTATGAGATGCCGGGGATTGAACCCAAGTTGGCTGCATGCAAGGCAATGCCTACCTGCCCTGGCACTTCAAAGTACTATTTGTTTTGAGGCCACACCTGGCAGTGCTCAGGGCTTATTCCTGACTCTGTGCTCAGTGTTTACTCCTGGCAAGTGCCCGCGGGACCAAATACTCTGCTCAGGATAGAACCCAGGTCAGCTGCATGCAAGGCAAGAACCTTACCTGCTGTACTAACTTTCCACCATTCTCAAAGTTGGTTTTATGTATTTTTATTATTCACTGCAATTTTTGTTTGAGGTCACATGCAGCAGAGCTCAGGAGCCATACGGGACGCCGGGGATCAAACCCAGGTCAAGTACATGCAAGGCAAGTGCCCTACCTGCTGTACTCTCTCCAGCCCCTCTCTAAGTGGTTCTTAAAACTTTGTAAAGAACTTTATATCACTGTTCTTGATCTGACCAATAGCAATGATCCCGCAAAATTCCCCCCCCCGTACACACACACCCAAAAAAGAGCTCAATTAGGACAGTGCATGACATAAAAAAGAAAACCAAAAACAACCAGACATTTAATATATTTGTGGTAAGTCCTTCAGCAGATACACATATCAATTTTATTATAACAAAACAGATTGGCATCAAAAGCAAAATCTATAAATTAAGTAATCATGTTGCTGTGGATTACGTTAGTTTTTTTGTTGTTGTTGTTGCGACAGATGGGGACAGACGGTAACATTTAATACATTTAGAAGACAAATTAGACTCACATACAGATTTTATCAACTTTCCTCGAAAAAATTGTTTGCTTATTTGAATGTGCCTTATTTTAGATATCAAAATATTACACACATAAAACCCACATTGATTTTTTTATTATTCAGCTTCGTTTTTCTGAAGCTCCAAGGCACCACCATCTGCTAGAGAAACGCCTTGTTTTAAAACGGCAAAACCTCAGGCTGGTGAAGATAGCGCGCTAGAGAAATGCCTGGATTTAAAACTGTAAAACTTGGGCTGGTGCAGACAGTGCTCAGAGCACCTGCCTTGCCTAGGTTCGAGCCCCAGCACCACAAGAAAAAAAAAAAAGAACTCTCACAATTACAGATTTGCTTTTCGGCTTGGCTTTTAATTGTGGACCACACCCAGCTGTAGTCAAGGCTCACTCCTGGCTCTGTACTCAGAGGGTCACTCCTGATAGTGTTCAAGGGCCCACAGCGGTCCTAGAGATTGAACTGAGATCATCTACATGCAAGGCAACTACCTTACCCTGTAGTATCTCTCGGTGTTTCCATAGACACACCTTTTTGGGGGGAGTTTTCCTTTTGTCAACAACAGATACCACTTACAAAAAAAACAAAAGACAGGTCAAATCTTTTAGAACTAGGAGAGCAAGTGTCGTTACTGGGCATTCTTTTTTCCAATCCTTCAGAAAGAATGAGCCCAGTACCAACACTTCGGTTCCAAACCAAGTTGAGAGAAAGCCATTCTACGTTTTGTTTTGTTTTTTTTAAACTCTAAGTAAAACCTTGGCAAGCGAGCAAGTAAGCAAGATGACACTACAGCAAAACAATATTATACCAACGGGTTTAGATCTCACAACAGGCTTCTGACTTCATTCTGGATTAGTAAAGGATACTGAAAGTGTCCATAGTCAATAAGGATAAGGCCAGGGTACAGCAATATGCACAATGCGTTGGTTATCTGTAAGGCAAAATATTAGTAATTAGTCTGTTATTCAACTCAGATACTGTACAAGTGTCATTTCACTTAACAAAATAATGAATGTTTGCCCCCCCCTTACCTCTACTTATCAAAATATTCCACTTTTATAAAATAAGTTTTAGGGGGGGCTGGAGAGATAGTACAGTAGGTAAGGCACTTGCCTTGCATGCAGCTGACCTGGGTTTGATCCCGGCACCCCACAAGGTCTGTTAAGAGAGATCCCTGGGGCTGGAGCGATAGCACAGCGGGTAGGGCGTTTGCCTTGCATGCAGCCGACCTGGGTTCAATTCCCAGCATCCCATATAGTCCCCCGAGCACCGCCAGGAGTAATTCTGTGCATTACTGGGTGTGACCCAAAAAAGAGAAAAAAAAAAAAGAGTGATTCCTGAGTACAGAGCCAGGAGTAAGTCCTGTGCACTGCCAAGTGTGGCCCCACCAAAAACAACCAAACCAAAACGAAACCAAAAATCGTCCTGTGAAGTTTTTATGAAAATGATATAGAATAGTACTTTAGTAAAGAGAAAAAAAAAGTCACTAACAGACATCTGACAATAGTAATCATTTCCATTATCAAAAGAAAAGTTAAGCTAGTGACTAACCTAGAAATGACCTAGATCTGTATGGGGCTGGAGCGATAGCACAGCAGGTAAGGTGGTTACCTTGCACGTGGCTGACCCGGGTTCGATTCCCAGCATCCCATATGGTCCCTCCCCCGCGAGCACCACCAGGAGAAATTCCTGAGTGCGCAGCCAGGAGTAACCCCTGTGCATCGCTGGGTGTGAACCAAAAAGCAAAAAAAAAAAAAAAAAGAATAGAGGTGTATGTGCAACTTCTCAAACCAGCTTCAGATCAGCCGTCCTCATCAGCCAACTCAAACGTCAGGCGAAGCAACTGAGCGATGCACTCGCCACATGGGGTGACTGAGCAGTATTTGACTCCTAAGAGTCAGGGGAACTTATTTCATCAAGCACAATTACTCTTCAACGCATGACTCGAAGCCTAAGTTTTTTTCTAAATGCAGATGGACAGAAGGGGGCCAGAGAGATGGCTCAGAGGGCTAAGAGGCACTTGGCACGGCAGAGACTGGACTCCATCCCCAGCACCCTCTGGGCACTGCTGGGAGCGAAGCCCGAGCAGAGCCAGGAGTATTCCCCAAGCACCACCAGGTGTGCTCCCAAACCAGAAAAACGGAAAAAAGGAAAGAGAGAGAAAACTGCCAGAAAACACACTGTGTCCTAGTATCCAGTCCCCAAAGCCTGGCACCCTTAAACTCTACAACTGAGAAGTTGTTGAGCTTACAAAGAACATATTCTGGGGGGTGGGGGGGCGGGGGGGGTGGGAGGTGCTTCGGCAGTTAAGTAGGAGGCCTAGAGTCCAACCCCCAGCACCACCCCTTGGCCCAAGTATGACCACAGACAAGAAGAAACTGCGTGACCCTGGAAAGCAGCACACCCGAAAAAGGGTGTATGAGCCCCACAGCTAAGGTGTGTGAGCCCACCCCCCACAAAAGCACCACAACCAGAGGTGGGCGAGCCTGAGACCTCACCGACAAAAGGAGCGAGGAGAGAGGGAAAGGAAACAAACAAACAAACAACAACAACAACAACAAAAAAAAGAGGACTATATATTTTTTTAACTTCTCTAAAGATAATATCAAATGAAATATCAGGTTGCTTTAAAACTTACCCTTTTCTTTATTGAGATTTCCTTTAAATAAGAACAGTACATAACCACTGCAGGTATATAAATCAGTAAATCGGCAACGAAAACTGAAAAGAACAAGCAAATAATTTTAAGCATGAGTCCAGCAGGATCTACGATGATCTAGAAATGGGGCCAAAGTGATAGTAGAGGAAGTAGGGCATTTGCAGTGCAAGCGGACAACCCAGGGCTGATCCCTGGCATCCCATATGGTCCCCTAAGTCTCCCCAGAGCGCAACCTATCTGGTCCTCTGAGCCTGCCAGGAGTGATCTGTGCAGAGCTGGGAGTTAAGCCCTGAGCACTGTGGGGTGTAGCTCAAAAACAAAACAAACAAAAGCAATGATCTAGTAGTAATTGCCTCCCGCCAGCTATGAGCCAGCCTCTATTAATTCACGTTCCCACCCACTTTGGACAAGCCCCTTCCAGATGGCCAGGTGTGGTCCTTGCCATTCCCTCTAGGTCTAATTTCAACTAAAGTGCCGGGATAATCTCTTCTTAGGTAAGGTAAGGTAAAGGCCCTCCCGTTGATCGTCGATTTGCTCGAGCGGGACCAGTAACGTCTCCATTGGAGACTTTGTTGTTACTGTGTCTGGCATATCGAATACTCTCGGTAGCTTGCCGGGCTCTCCGAGAGGGGCGGAGGAATCGAACTCGGGTCGGCCATGTTGGCCGCTTGTAAGGCGAACGCCCTACCCGCTGTGCTATCGCTCCAGCCCCTTAATTTTCGCTAACAAATTCACCCATTAAACCAACTAAATTATGATGCTGGAGAAATCCTATAAGGATGAAGGCACTTGCCTTGCATGCAGTGGACCCCAGTTAGATCGCCAGCACCACCATACATTCCCCTAAGCCTGTCAGGAGTGAGCCCTGAGCAGAGGCAGAAGTAGCCCCAAACACTGCTATGGTAAAACCAAAATGAAAAAATAAAAGTACATAATTTTTTAGGGACCAGAGCCAATAATACAGCAGGGAGGGCGCTTGCTTATACTCGACCAACTTGGCTTCGATCCGATCCCCAGCATCCCACATGTGTCCCTCAAGCCCTGCCTGGAGTGACTGTTGAGTGCAGAGCCAGGAATAAGTCCTGAGCCCTGCTAGGTAAAACCCAAAAAACATAACAAGCAAACAAAACGACTGCACTGCACTGTCCTCCCATTGTTCATCGATTTGCTCAAGCAGGCCCAGTAACATCTCCATTGTGAGACTTCTGTTACTGTGTTTGGCATATCAAATACGTCACAGGTAGCTTGCCAGGCTTTGCCGTGCGGGCGGGATGCTCTCAGTAATTTGCCGGGCTCTCCGAGAGGGGCAGAAGAATCGAACCCAGCTCGGCCAGGCCAGCTGCGCGCAAGGCAAACGCCCTACCCGCTGTGCTATCGCTCCAGCCCAAACAAAACTACATATACATATATATTTAAAAGAATAATAACAGGGGCTGGAGAGATAGTATAGTGAGAAAGCCTTGCCTTGCACACAGCCGGCAGGGTACGAATGCTGGCATCCCAAATGTTCCCTTGAGTCCTGCTGGAACTGACCCCTGAGTATTAAGCCTAGAGTATAAAGCCTACAGCCAGGTGTGGCCCAAAAGTGAAGAATAACTAGAATAAATCAATTAGACTCTCCAAAACATGAATCCTCCCATTGTTCATCGATTTGCTCGAGCGGGCACCAGTAACGTCTCCATTGTGAGACTTGTTGTTACTGTTTTTGGCAGATCAAATACGCCATGGGGAGCTTGCCAGGCTCTCCGAGAGGGACGGAGGAATCAAACCCGGGTGCAAGGCAAACGCCCTACCCACTGTGCTATCACTCTAGCCCAATAGAAGAAGAACTAGCATAAATCAATTATATTCTCCAAATTCCTCTTTGCTCTCCCTTTTTTCCTTTTTGGGGGGAAAGGGTAATGCAGGGACCACACGTGGCGATGCTCAGGGGCTACTTCTGGCCCTGTGCTCGGGGTTAGTCCTGGTTGTGCTGCGGGGAGGAAACGGGGGACCACACCCAGTGTTGGAAACTGAGCAGGGGCTGCCCTGATGTGTTTTCAAAAATGAAGAAGAAATATTTTCTCTGTACCTGAATACTCCACATTTTTCTGATGTGAAGAAAACCCTAACCGTGGCTATGCACTGAAACATCTTTTTAAACATTATTAATTTTTAAATACATATCCTTAATTATTGACTAAAAAGGGCTTGAGGAGGTACAAGTGAAGAAAAAACACCACCCCCCTCCCAAAGGAAAAGTTTAGTGGGGGGGGAGAATTGGAGCACTGCCCAGGTCTAGCCCCCAAAATGCCAAAAAATTAATTTTCAAAAAGAATTCTTCTTGGGGCTGGAGCAATAGCACAGCAGGCAGGGCATTGGTCTTGCATGTGGCCGACCCAGATTCGATTCCCAGCATCCCATATGGTCCCCTGAGCACCGCCAGGAGTGATTCCTGAGTGCAGAGCCAGAAGTAACCCCTGTGCATCACCAGGTGTGACTCAAAAAGAAAAAAAAAATTGTTCTTTTAGAATGAAAAAAATAGGTCAAGTTCTTCAACAGTATAACACAGCTCTCCAAAGCCTAATTTTTTTTTCTTAAAACACAGTAAATACAGTGTCCAGCATAAGAGAAAGGACAGCACAGTGTGAGTGTGAAGAGACGTGCAATCTATTTTCAGCTCCAGAAGCATCTGAGATGACACTGACAAACTGGACCATATTCAAAGAGGTAAAACCAGAGGCCTCGGAACCAGAATCACGTCAGGAAACTGTTCATCGAGATACAAGCTCACGTGACCAAGAATACTGAACCTGGAGAAAGGGGACTTTAAGTGTCTGCAGCTGGCACATGAAGGATCAAGCCTGCTGCACTCTGCCCAAGGGAACAGAAGCTCAAGCGAGTATTAGAGGTTTGACGTTACACCACTCAGAGGCGGAGGTGCTCTCAAAGCAGAAGCGACTGGATCCAGTGTTCATGTGGCCCTGGCTTCGTCGGGATGTTGGACCTGCGTGAAATGATGTAGCGTGGATGCAGTTCTGAGGGCCGGGACATTGGGAGGACAGGGGTGAAGCCGTGGGAAGGAAAGGCAGGAAGGGCAGGCAGCCAGGCCAGGCTCTCTCTTAGGCCTGAGACGGTCTGACTGGATGAGGAGGGAAGAGGGCAAACTGACTGAACCCAGACTCACTGAGGAAAAGATCCAGGCGGGCATGGAAAGTCTCAGGAAAAGTTCTTAAAGAGGTAGAAGGGGAGCTGGAGCGATAGCACAGCGGGTAGGGCGTTCGCCTTGCACACTGCCAACACGGGTTCTATTCCCAGCATCCCATATGGTCCCCCATGCACCGCCAGGAGTAATTCCTCAGTGCATGAGCCAGGAGTAACCCCTGTGTATTGTTGGGTGTGACCCAACAAGTAAAAAAAATTAAAAAATAAAAATAAATAAAATAACATCGATTTGCTCGAGCGGGCCCAGTAACGTCTCCATTGGAGACTTTGTTGTTACTGTGTCTGGCATATCGAATACTCTCGGTAGCTTTCCGGGCTCTCCGAGAGGGGCGGAGGAATCGAACTCGGGTCGGCCATGTTGGCCGCTTGTAAGGCGAACGCCCTACCCGCTGTGCTATCATGTTTAAAGAGGTAGAAAGTTGGCTCAGGGAAGATGGCTCCTGTTTTGCATGCAGGAGGCCCATTCCTGGTGATGCTCAAGGAACCACATGGGATGACAGGGATCAAACCCGAGTCAGCTATGTGCAAGACAGTCCAAGCTCTTTACCACCCTCTCCTGTCTCTCTGACCCCTTTGGGATACTGGTCAGGGGTAGCTGACACTCGTGGTGGGATGGGTGCTAAAGTATTATACGCCTAATCGTCAATTATCAATAACTTTGTGAATCACAGTTCTTTAAATTAAAACTTCCTTTAAAAAAAAAAATGAGTAAGGAAATAAGACCAGGAATGCAGTTCAGTGGTAAAGCACTGGACTTGAATGTATGAGGCCCCAAGTTTGATCCAGAGCACCATTAAAAAAAAAAAATGAAAGTAAATCAAGATACAGATATAAAGTGAATAATGTGGCTCAGTGGTACAGCCCTGAGCATGGAGGGTCTGGTTTTGATTGACACTGATTTAAGAAAAATAATAAGAGTATTCACAAAAAATTAAGTGAAATGATGATACTAATAAATTCAAGGCTGAGGTCTGTAGCTCAGTGGTCAAGTGTATGTTTTGAATGTATGAAGACCTGGGTTCAACTTCCTGCCTGGTACCAAAAACCAAAAACATAAAAGGGGACGAGGAAGAGAGCTTAAAGAGACAGAGAACATGATTTGCATGCCCAGTGCCTGGGACTGCATGGCCCCCCAAGCTTCATGGGTGCAGCCTTGGAGACTCCCCAAGCACCACGGACCCAGAGCAGCATCGCGTCACCCCAACGAGCATCACTGTCACTGTCACTGTCCTCCCGGTGTTCATCGATTTGCTCGAGCGGGCCCAGTAACACTGTGAGACTTGTTACTGTATTTGGCATATGAAATACATCATGGGTAGCTTGCCAGGCTTTGCCCTGTGGGCAAGATACTCTCGGTAGCTTGCTGGGCTCTCCGAGAGGGGCAGAGGAATCGAACTCGGGTTGGCCGTTGTCAGCCATGTGCAAGGCAAATGCCCTACCCGCTCTGCCAACGAGCATAAAAAGCATTATATCATCTGGGGCCAGAGCAAGGCTGCAGTGGGGAGGGCGCTTGTCTTGCCTGGGGCCAACCCAGGTTCAATCCCCAGCATCCCAAATGGTCCCCTGAGCCCACCAGGAGTGATTCCTGAGTGCAGAGCACAGGAGTCACCCCTGAGCACTACCGGGTGTGATCCAAAACCAAACCAACAAAAGCATTGAATCATCCTACCTGATTGGTCAAATATTTCAGGGACAGGATTAGGGGTTCTCTGAGCATTGCTCGAGAGCTCCTCCTCAAAAGGTATAAAAGGGTCGAAGTGATAGTACAGCAGGGAGGGCATTTGCCTGACCTGGGTTCGATCCCTGACATCCCATATGCTCCCCTGAGCACTGCCAGGAGTATTTCCTGAGTGCTGAGCCAGAAGAAGCACTGTAGCACTGTGCTCCTGTTGTTCATTGATTTCCTCGAGCGGGCACCAGTAACGTCTCCACTGTGAGACTTGTTTCTGTTTTTGATATGAAAATCGCTGGGTGTAACCCAAAAAGCAGGGGGAAAAAAAGTTAACAACAACAAATGCAAAAATACCCAGGGTAATTTCCTACCAGTCTTTGTTTGGCTTACATGGGCACTTAGTTGTTATATGTTATACATTTTATGCATAGTTACACAATTTTTAATTGGTTATTCAGTTATAAAAGTCAGTGAAAAACAATTTATAAAACCCTTTCACCAGTTCTTCTAAATTTTCTTAAAAACCAAATTCTAGATTTCAGTCCCTGCCATTCTCCTACCTGTCGTACGCATGAAGAGTTTGTGTGCCTGACTCTCGTATCCACGAGATGTATGAAGAGCGATCCAGTCTGGATCTATAAATTTTGCCCTGAAAAGCAAAGCATAGCAAAGTATACATACAGGTTTTATGTTATCACTTTTAGAAACGAGGACAAAAATGTAGAGAGTCCTGGGGCTGGAGCAATAGCACAGAGGGTAGGGCATTTGCCTTGCACGCGGCCAACCCAGGTTCGATTCCCAGCATCCCCTATGGTCCCCTGAGCACCGCCAGGGGTAATTCCTGAATGCAGGGCCAGGAGAAACCCCTGTGCATCACCAGGTATGACCCAAAAAGCCAAAAAACAAAAAAAAAATGTTGAGGGTCCTTTATTCTCACAAAGCTATGGTTGACATCAAGCTTCACTCTTTTTATTTAATCACATGAAACTGACTCAAGCTAAGGAACTGTCTGCCTTGCTCAGCTCCCAGCAAAATCATGTTACATGTTACTATCATTCCCATCCGCAAAATCTTCCAGTGGGAAATAACCTGACATGTCACACTCACTTATTAAACACAAACGTTGTGGAGAACAATATAATACTACTAACCAGAGAACCAAGTGCTTTAGTTATCAAAACACAACAATACAATAGTTGTTAAACATTAACTACTGCATAAGATTTTTTTTTTACACTTTGGGTTGTTTGTGGGGGGTGGGAGCGGGTATTTGGGCCACACCTGGCTACACTCAGTGCTTACACCTGACTCTGTGCTCAGGGATCATCCCTGGCAGGGCTTGGGAGACCATGTGTAGTGCCAGGGATCAAACTCGGGTTGGCTGCACTCAAGGCAAGCACTTAACCCACTACACTATTTCTCCTGCCTAAAATAATTCTTAATGATAAGTTTTGAATCACTCATTGTAACTAATCACTACAAAGTTCTGGGGCTTCCAGGAAGTGAACTTTCACAAACAACAAAATGGTTAAAATAAAAATACGAAGATGAACTTTCCATCTGAAGAGATTGTATACATAAAAACCTAAAGTTTCTAACTTGACAAGTTAAAAAATACTAAGTTGAACTTTCCATCTGAAGAGACTGTATACATAAAAACCTAAAGTTTCTAACTTGACAAGTTAAACATGATACCACCTGAACTTCAGACCTTCCCCCAAAACTGCTTTTCTACATACAATTAACGATGTTAGATATAGTTCGTATCAAGCAAGCATAACTAGTAACCTGTCTGCTTCAAAACAAAGCTAGCATTTTGCATCTTTTACTAGTCTGTTCTCCAAAAAAAATGATGAAAATTTTCAAATTTTGATAGTTAACATTTTTAAATTGATTTTCTAAAAATCAGTTTGTGTAGTAGTACACAAGTCATAACAGTGTACTATTTTACACTATTATGACTTGTATACTATTCCTTTGTGTACACATAATATTTTATACATGATACAAATATAGGTCCAAATAATCTCTATTTAGCATGGTCAGATGACACTGCTTCTTTTTAGAAGGTATGTCTAGTTAGAGTTACAGTAAGTAAGAAAAACTTACACATAAGCACATAAGAGACTGTGGTAGGCGGTCAGAGGTGGGTAATCTAGTCCCCAATACTGTAAATTGTTATCGCTGCTGTTAAAGTACCTGGGGAAAAAAAAGCACCATTCCATTAACCAATCACCAGGAAATAATTTAACACCTCATCTCAATTTAATTTAAAAGTGTCGTAATAGGCTCAAAGAAAAGATTGGGGGCACCAGAGCAATGGTTCGGTGGCTAGGCGCTTGTCTCAGAAGTGGCCAAACCTGGGTTTGATGCCCGGCACCACAGATGGTTTCCTGAGCCTGCCAGGTGTGAGCCCTGAGCACCGCCAGGAGTGGCCCCCAAACAAAATAAAACCAAAAATGGCCAGAGAGATAGTAACAGGTGGAAAGGTGCTCGCCTTGCATGCAAGCCAACCTCGGTTCCTCCTCAGCACAGCACGTCCCCCACGACCCACACCAGCAGTGATTCCTGAGCACAGAGTCAGCAGGAAGCCCTGAGGACCACAGGGTGTGGCCTCAAAATCTAAAACCCAAACAAAACGCTTACTGAGCACTTATGCCATGACACTGCCAGCACTGGTGCCTTTCCACGTTTCATCCCAGCAATCCTCAAAATAACCCAGTGAAGGGACTGCATTGATAGCACAACAGGTAGGGCATTTGCCTTGCACGCTGCCGACCTGGGTTCGATTCCCAGCATCCCATATGGTCCCCCGAGCACCGCCAAGAGTGATTCCTGAGGGCATGAGCCAGGAATAACTCCTGGTGCATCACCAGGTGTGACCCAAAAAGAAAAAGAAAATAAAAACCCAGTGAACTATGAATTCTATCCTTCACATTCCAGAGGCGATAAAACGGTAACAGAGAATGCAAAAAATAACAGGCCCCAGGTCACACTGGTAGTGAATGGTAGAACCGGAACCCAAACTTGGGCATCTTCGTTCCTTGTCTCTGCCCCGCTGCTGTTTTACACCTCAAATATTCCTCACGGAGAAGCTGTACAACCTCCTGAGGAAATGATTCTCATCCATAAATTTCCATGCTTGATGTTAGAGGCGCTTCTAACGCAGATCACGCTGCCAGAGTTCTAGCTCAGCTCCACATTCCAGCTGGGAATCAAGCCTGGGTCCCTTTGGGGGGGAGCGTGGCTTCCCCCAGCTGGGCGTACTCAAGCTAACAGAAGCCTAATCAAGCCTCTAGGAAGATAAGGACGCCCGAGAGGAGAAAAATAACTTTCCTTCGGGGACCCTCAAATGATCTCTGTGACCTCACTATGGAAAAAGAAGCAAGTCGGATTGAAGCGACCCCATACCATTGTTTGACGGGTAAATTCAGAGTGATTTCTTGCCAGTGTCGCTGAGCTTCATAATCACCGAACATCGGGGGCTTCCCCGCACCTGAGGAGAAAGGTATAAGGAACAAAAACAAAAGACTTTAGGGCATCGCCGATTTGGATTTCCTTACGAAAATGTTGTATGTTATAGGGGAGTGGAAATTAAGAAAAAGAACATAGGAGCTGTCCCCCCCCCACCAAAAAAAAAGGCAAAGCACTGAGGTCTAAAGGTGAGTGTTAACATTCTCAGTGAATCTGGGACGTGAGATCAAAGATTCAACCTCCCTGGGCCTCCACACAGTCAAACCAGGATCAACATAGCTACAACAGGATCAACACAGACAAGACTATGAAATACCCAGTAACACCTGCACCCCTACTCCCTACCCACCTACCCACAACACACACACATACATGTGCGTGCATCCTAAGAATCAGATTTTGTTTACTTTTGTTTTTCTCATTAGCACCTGACAGTCTCTGTGAATGCTAATAAAACAAGGACTTTTCTCGTTTATTGAGTGTGCTGGAGCTATAGCCCAGCGGGTAGGGCGTTTGCCTTACACGCAGCCAACATGGCCGACCCGAGTTCGATTCCTCCGCCCCTCTCGGAGAGCCCGGCAAGCTACCGAGAGTATTCGATATGCCAGACACAGTAACAACAAAGTCTCCAATGGAGACGTTACTGGGCCCGCTCGAGCAAATCGACGATCAACGGGAGGGCCTTTACCTTTGGGCTGGAGCGATAGCACAGCGGGTAGGGCGTTCGCCTTACAAGCGGCCAACATGGCCGACCCGAGTTCGATTCCTCCGCCCCTCTCGGAGAGCCTGGCAAGCTATCCGTGATGTATTCGATATGCCAAACACAGTAACAACAAGTCTCACAATGGAGACGTTACTGGGCCCGCTCGAGCAAATCGATGAACGAGAGGACAGTGACAAATGGGTGTGCAACAGAAAGCAATTTTGAGTTCTGACCAATGAATGATGCCAATGCTACTAGAACATGACTCCCATAGAACAGTTATTGTATAGAACAGTTATTGTCTGACACTTTAAAATCCCAAGGCTTGGGGTTAGGGCTATAGTGCCAACAGGTAGAGCATTTACCTTGTATGCGGCTGACCTTCGTTCGATGCCCAGCATCCCATATGCTCCCCCAAGCACCGCCACGAGTGCAAAGTCAGGAGTAACCTCTGTGCATTGCTGGACGTGACCCCAAGAAAGCCCCCAAAAAAAATCCCAAGGTTCTGTTTAGGTTGACCCTTTTGATCTCTCTTCTGTCAATTCACACCCAATCTTCCAGAATCTTCCAAATTCTAAATTTTCCATTAAACTTTCTTTCACGAATTTGGGGCTGGAAAGATAAAATGGCAGGCAGGGTATGTGCCTTGCATGTGACTGATGAGGGTTTGATCCTTGGCATCCCATCTGATTCCCTGAGTACCACTAGGAGTAACTCCTGAGTGCAGAGCCAAGAGGACACCCTGAGCATCATTGGGTGTGACCCAAAAACCAAAAAGAAAACATCTTTCACAAATTAAAACATGCTGACCATTAAGTACTTTTCTAATACTTAAATTTTCAGTATCATTTATCATGTGATAATTAAGTGTGCTATTTCCTAATTGTTATCTATGAATATTAGTTCTAATGGACAGAGATTATGACTTTTCAGTGATCAGAAGAAACATACTATTGGGCCAGAGAGATAGTACAGGTGGGAAGAGCACCGGGCTTGCATAGGGCTGATGTGGGTTTGATCCCCAACACAATATTTGTTTCCCAAGCGCCACCAGGAGTGATCCCTGAGCAGAGATGAAAATGAGCCCCAAGCACAGCCAGTGCTTCCCGGATAATAAAAAAATTAAATAAAATGCTACTAAGCCATATAGTACATACTTTCATTAAGCATCTAATACATACTTTGCTTAAAAACTTGCTTAACTGAAGCTCGAGATTTGGTTGAACAATAGAGCATTTGCCTAGCATATGTAAGGCACTGGGTTTAATCCCCAGCATATTACACACACAAACACACACACGCATACACACACTTAATTGAACAAGAAGAGAATAACCTCTAGTTTTTAAAAAAAGGGACATAAGGGACTAGACAAATAGCACAGTTGCAGACTGCTTGCCTTCCATGTGGTCAGGCCCAGATTCGATCCCCAGCATCCCATACAGCCACCTGAGCCCATCAGGAATGATTCCTGAGTGCAGTCAGGAGTAACCCCTGAACATCTCTGGGTGTGTCCCCTCCCCCAAAAAAGGAAAATAAATTCCAGGTGATTTGCACTTCTGCATATGCATTCATTTTCTAGATGAGAGCAGTGGTTTGGTTTGGGTTTGAGAGAGTGGGGGTACAGCCGGCAAGCTGAGGCATCTCGACTCCTAGAAGCTCGGCAGCTCAGGGTCAGGCTTCTTGGTGCTCAGGGGACCGAGCAGAGCCAGGGATTCCAACCCAGGCCTCCTGCATGTCAGGCACGTGCTCCAGCCCACTGAGTCCTCCGGCTGGCCCCCTCTGTGGAATACAACCACTGTCTACAGCTTCTTCGTGGGAAGGAAGGAAACTGATTTTTACTTTTTGTCTGTGTTGTTTTTATTTGTGTTTTGGTCCACTGGGATAATAAAAGTCTGAGAGGATCTTTAGTAATTTCCGACACCTGACCCAATCCCACTATCTAGATATTCTGAAATCGCCCCTAGACTTGTGGTCATCGTGGAAGAATTTATGGCCATTCTCTAACAAATAGAAGAATGGATAATGACTCTCTTTAGAGTTGAGAAACAAGTTTCTATCCCGAGTCTGACCTACTTCAATAAATTCAGCTGACACTGGCTATGAAATTAGTACTTAAGTTTTTAAAACTGCTAAAGTGCCCTTAAAGGAACCCAGAAGGACAGCCCAACGGTACCTATGGGAGCTTCACTTGGGAAGGGCAAAAAGGATTCCTTCCCCGTGATTAATTCCACAAATTCATTTCCAGGAGATTCAGAATCACAGAAAGATAACACGTTCATATATACTCACACAGCTTCAGTGCTCTCTTTCTGAAGAAAAACGGGCTTAAGCACCACTTCAATGTATTAATTGCTGAACTATTCAAAATTATGTTCATTTTTTTTAGGGGGCCACACCCAGCAATGCTCAGGGGTTACTCCTGGCTCTACACTCAGGAATTGCTCCAGGCAGCAGGAGTAAGAGGATGCCAGGGATCAAACCCAGAACAGCAGCATGCAAGACAAACTCCCTACCCGCTGTACTACTACTCCAACTTAGAATTTTGAAAGCTTATCTGCTGTGGGGGACAGCAGGAAGCCACACGATGCTCAGGGTTACTCCTGGCTCTGCACTCAGGATAACTCCTGCCATCTGGGATGAGAGGGATCAAACCCAAGCTGGCCCCATACAAAGCACATGCCGTACCCGCTGTACTATTGCTCCAGTCCTTAAAAGCTTGTTTTTTAAAAGCTTTTTCAATTTGTTTAGTTGATTTAATAATTACATATACCGTTCACCACATCTTGTATTTTTACATATTATAAAGGGAAGAGAATCTGGCATTTCCCAGAATAAAATTCTGCTTTTATAGGTTTCCTGGTGAGTAAAGAGAAACATTTGTCGGTAATTTGAGAGAAAGCAATTAAATAAAACATGGTCAAACTGTAACAAGATCGGTATATTGTGAAGAATGATTTTCCAAGATTTTCTCCTCCTGCTCCGTCAATGTAGCCTTGGGAGGAAGAATAAAGGGACATTACTAAAATAACTTTCCATGCCTTTAGCGCTGCCATTTGCTCTAAAAAACACTGGCTGACACACTGGATTAAATAAAGAAAAACTGTAATTTCTGCAAGAAATGATAATACGGAGATCAGAGTCTTCCACAGCCCCATTGGTTGCTTAAAAGCAAATGAAATTCATTACTTTCAGGTCTGTAAATGCTGATTATGTAAACAGCACTTACTTAAAGCGTATGTGCAAATATAAAAGGGCTTTGAAAAACTGAAATGCTAATGTACAATTTACTGTGGTCTATTTCCCAAACCTCCCCAATGGGGTAACAACGGATCCCTATTAATCCAGCTACCATCTTCCTTGCCTAAGTAGCTCCAAATTACAACCTTACGATAAACTACGGGGGCTGGAGCAATAGCACAGAGGGTAGGGTGTTTCCTTTGCACGCGGCCGACCCGGGTTTGATCCCAGCATCCCATATGGTCCCCCAAGCACCTCCAGGAGTAATTCCTGAATGCAGAGCCAGGAGTAACCCCTGAACATCGCCAGGTGTGACCCAAAAAAGAAAAAATTTAAAAAAAAGATAAACTACACTGTTAAAAACAAATGAAAGAGCCAGAGAGACAGTCCCAAGGCCACTACACTGAGTCTCAAGCACTGCCAGGAGGCAACCCCAAAGCTCCAAGCCAGGATTGGCACTGGGTGTGGTGGAACACAGCCAAACACTGGGGGGCTGCAGAGAGCACAGAGGTTATAAGGCCGACCCCAGTCCAAAATTCCTGGCACCAAGTGTGCCCTGAGCTCACAGAGAGAGACCTGTGGAGCTGAGCTGGAAAGAGTATCCCCCCCAGCCCCAACCCTGGATGTGGCCCCGGAAACAAATTAAATAGATACAACCTGTAGTCACAAATAGTAATAGAGGGGAAAATTGAAAAAAAAAAAAGTAGGGAGGGGGCTCAGCGGCAGAAGATATGCCTTACAAGCAGGAAGTAGTCCTGGCAGGTAAACTGTATAAGGAAGTTTATAAGACCAAGTTTCTCCTCAGTCTCCTTCAATCCTTCTTCCTCCAGGCCCTCTATGTATAACCTCGAGCATTTTGTTAAAAATCCCAGTGGAATCACAAGTTAGATCCATTCCCAAGTTCTCTCAGTCCCCCATGATTTTGTTCCTCACCAGTGAATAGTGAAATTGCTGTAATCTTCACAACGGGCTTTATTTAGATGAGATGGACTTATTTGTATTAGCATTTGGCAGTGATTTCCCTTTTCTCATCTGAACATGACAAAAACACATAATACCTAATTCCAAAAGATACATGCAAATACTTTACTAATGGACATTAATCTTTCCTATACAGTAATCCAGGAACCCAAAAGTAAATTTTTTTTCCCCTGTGAATCTTCAGGGGACAATTTAAGAGCCAGGTGTAAAATAAGAATCAGGGGCCCAGAGAGATGGCCTAGAGGGCTGAGTGGAAGGCCAGGGTTCACCCAGCAGTGCTCAAGGTTTACTTCAGGCTCACTGCATTGGGATCACTCCTGGTGGGGTTCAGGAAACCATATGTGTTGGAGTACATGGAGCTTAGGTTTACCAGATTGTACCCATCACAGTGCTCCCGAGTCACTCCCATTACTTTGTCTGCTTGTAACCACTTCTATGCTCTCTTCCCCAACCAATTTGTAAGGTCTCATCCTTCTTAGACACTGAAGCTGTACTGTAAGTCAATATTGCCTTTCTCCTCTCCTTATGTCTTTGAGCAGTTTACTTTAATGCAATGTCCTTTTGTATAGATACAGGAAGACAATTAATTAATATTATGCTTTATAACTTAGGAATTGATTGGCTTTGAATATTATTCACTCCTGGGCATCTGCCTTCTCAACTTAAGCCTCAGTTGCCCTCACTTCCTAGCACCCCAAGGGCAGGGTCCCGACGTGGGACTGGATGGAACCAGGGCAAGCCGGTAAGTTATGTGCTACCCTGGCATCGCGATGGGCCAGGCCAAGGTGCCACGATTCTTAACTATAAGTTAAGAGTTTGATCATGGGCAAATGCTGTCATGATCCAAAAGTAACGACGAGACTAGGGCCCTGCTGCTAGGAATAGGAAAGATATCTGGCCTGAGCACTGCAGTCTGAGATCGAGATGGTCCTAGGAGAGCAATTCTATAAGCTCAAAGTATTTCTTACTGTGTCCATACGAAATGATTAATATTATGTATGCTTATATGTTGGTTGGACAAGGAGAGGAGAAACACATCCTAGAAGCAGTTTCCTGGGTGTCCTGACTAGCTTGGATGAGACTGCTTTTTTGGAGATGTAGATTCCAAGCTCTAGCAGACTGGTCTTTGTTGTGCTAATCTAAGTGCTTGTAGCTTGTGAAAAGGTGAGGCCAGGATTACTGGCCTGCGGATGTAAGGAAACAATGTATGTTTGCCGCCTCAGTGTTCTTTCTGTAACTCCTTTTGATGACATCATTATATTGCGCCCTTTAGAGGTACTATGATCTATATAAGGGAGATTTCAGGGCTCTCGGGGGGGACACGTGCATCAGAGAACCTGGGAAGATGGGGCTGAGGACAGAAGCGGAGAGAACAAAGGCGCACGTGCTCGAGGATTCCTGAGGCCTCCATGACATACATCTCTTCCATGTAATAAACGGCTACTAAGACCAACTAGCTTGGCCTCGTTTCCTTCCTTCACCTGACCATCGCCATCGACCTCCCTGGAGTGGGAAAACGGCAAGACCGCCGGCCCTTTTTATTTTTTGTGTGTTTATACACATATGGGGTACCCGGAATCAAACGGGGGTCAGTCAAGAGCAAGGTAAGCACCTTACCCACTGTACTCTCTCTCCGGCCTCTTATAATTCTTTTTCGTTATCTCAGAAGTCATTTATTTGTCCAGGTTAACTTAGACCACACTATAATCTCTCCCTTTCCATCTCTCTGTTCTGTGGGAGGCAGAGAGGATCTCAGGGCGATGGGGTGTCATGACATGAGGAGCTTTGTAGAGACCAGGCCCACACCTGGGGCCCTTGGGGGCCATGTGTGTGGGGACTGACCAGGGTGCTACATAGACAGCAAATGCTTTACCATTTGAGTCCTATCGCCAGTCCTTCGTCCGTACTCCGATACTGAATACTTAGAGTCCCACTCTCCTGCCATGAGCTTCCCCTGTCTCCAAAACCTTCCCCATTTCATCTCTCCAGCAAATTCCAATTACTCCTCTAAACCTTCAGCCTTCATCTTCTCTGAAAGGTCTTTAATACATCCTGATTAATCCCTTGCTTCTCTGTGTTACCTCACACCTACCTGTTTATCATAGGGTACCATGACCACCTCGCTATAAAATGGGAACCCTTCCAGTATGGCACAGCGCACCTTGTATTTCTAGCCCGGAGCCTGGCAACTGGAACATGAAAACGCTAAATAATCACTAAGTTAAATTTCATCTCATTGCCAGTCTCCAGGAATACAATTCATTGATTCTCCCTCCTTTCCTTCACCCCTTTCCCAGTCTCAATTCTCCATTGCTCTCAGTCTATTTAATAACAGACCTTTTCTACCCTAACATACTCCTGCCAAAAAAAAAAAAATGCTCTCTTTCATTCCATTTCCCTTTCTTTCTTGGCTTGGGGGACACACTCAGCAATGCTCAGGGCTTACTCCTGGCTCTGGGCTCAGGGATCACTCCTGGCCAGGCTCAAGGGACCACATGGGGTACTGAGAACTGAACCTGGATTGGTCACATGCCAGGTAAGTGCCTTAAACCCTGAATATGTCTCTGGCCCCTCTACTCTCCCTTTAAGGTATCGATCCAATGGCAGGGAGCTCGACAGGCTGGAAGCACACGTTGAACGTAGGAGGCCAGGCCGGATCCCAGCACCACCTGGTCTCTTGAGCACCACCAGGTGTGGCCCCAAAACAAGACACAATAAAACAAAGTTCAATTCTCCTGGCAATGCCTATCCATAACCATTTCCCACTATGTCACCTTCCTGGTTAGAATACATGTTTGCTTTTCTCACAGTCCCTGTAGCTCTTATAAATTTCCTTTATTTTAGAATAGAAGCTAAATGTATTTTCTTGGCCACATCAATAAAGCCTGAAATTCTTCTCTGTCTGAGGCAGAGAACTATAAACAAAACCGGGGAAAAAAAAAAAGGCAGGGGAAAAACAAAAAAACTACCCAAAAACTGTTGACCACTATCTAGATGGCAAAGATAGCCTTTGTGTAAACAGAGTTACCTGAATAGGAATTCAGAGAAACCGTCCATCGTACTGTGAGTCCCAGTAAGACCACAACTGCCATCAAGGACCATTTCTCCATAGTTCCTCTTCAACTTCAGGGAGGGAGAAAAACAGGAGAAGCGTCGGAATACTTCTAACACACAGTCGCTCCTTTTCCTGATCTGAGAAATGTTACCAGTGCTTCAGGAGCAGGAGTCTGGGAGGATTTTCAGGGATGTTTCTTTGTCCACGAATTTACACACTGAATTTTCTACCTTGGAAGAAAACAGCCTGGAGAAAACAACCACCAAGAGTTAGTTAACAGAGAACTCATCTAAACAAACAGAGAGATGGAGAAGGGAGATCGGGGGAGACATGGAGGGAAGAATGTTTTTATATCTGCCTTAGTTGTTTAGGATGGAGAGAGAACACTTTTTGGGAAGGAGATCTCCTTACATGCTGGTGACCTGGGTTTGCTTCCCAACATCTCGCAGGGTCCCCATGAGCACTGAGCCAGGAGTAAGCAAGCCCTGAGCATAACTGGATGTGGGTGGCGCAAAAAAAAAAAAAACCAGCAATTTCTCTGTGAGCACAGCAGCCCAGAATGCGATCCCCACACACCCCCACACCCCAAACTCTGCAGCACAAACACCACTACTGAAGTGTGTGTGTGACTCCTTGAGAGCACCCACACCCACATACATACACACACTTCTCCATGAGCACCATAACCAAGTCTCTCCAAGTAACTGCAACAACCATCATCACACAGGAAAGGGAAAAGGAAAAGAAGATATAAAGTAAATCAGTAACGGCAACACTCCCCGACTCCAGGGTCTCATGCACAAGGTAAGTGTCCTACAACGAGGAAACTGAAAACACGTTTTTGACCAAAATTAAGTCAGCTCTAGGGATAATCCTATTGAACTACCTCCCCCAAAATATTATGTAACAAAAATAACACTCCCAATAATATTAAATAATCATTAAGGAGGTAGTGAAGAACCTAAGGTCTAATTTAGATCATGTTGAGTTGGCTGAACACACAAGAACAGATAACCAGTGGATGTAAGAATAACATCTGAGGGCCTCAGAGGAAAAAAACAGGTAGGGGCAATGCCTTGCACAGGGCCAACCAAGGTCCCATATGATCCCCCAGCACCACCAGAAGTGATCCCTGAGCACAGAGCCAGGAGTAAGCCCTGAGCACAGAGCCAGGTATGGCCCTTATACCACGCCCCCCAAAAAAACACCCACAAAGGGGCAACTGCTTAAGTACTGCAAAGCTTTATATGGATGGACCCAGAAACAGTAAGCAAAGCTGTGTGGTGTTTTGTGCAACCGTTAGGCAAACTTTTCTACCAATTATAGTGGATTTTCTTGAGAGGGAGCCCTCTTGCAAAGAAACTGAGCAACCACCTAAGAATATCTTTATTACAGACTACTAACTTCTAAAGTGTCTTCTAAATTGGATTTGAAGAGCAAAGTAGTTGTCTAACCTAATAATCCTGGTAATACAGAAGAGCTGTTCTCCCAGAATGTGAACGGTTCCCCTATTTTCCAAAGGTTGCCTGGTACCCTGGTACTGCCACTTGCCTGTTTGGATTTGGGGGTACCCCCTTGGTGATGATGCTCAGGGGTCAAGACTGTGCCATTCCAGGCTACTGAGCCCAGGCCCACCAAGCCCTGACCGACATGCCCCAGCCCTGGAAGGCCCCTTCAGGCCCTGCCATCCTTCGAACGCGGACATCACACCCACTTTTGAACAAAACCCAAATTCCCCAAGCATAAGCACCCCCAAGATCTGCTCCCCTTCCCTACAGTGTCTGTCCTCTTCCTAGAACCTTCCAGATCCTTTCTGCTCCCCCTGCTCTTTTCTGCTTCCATTCCCTCTGCCAGGAATGCACTTGAACCGGCTTCAGAGCGAACCTGTCCTTCAAGTTGTAGCTTTTACCTCCTTAGAAGTCTCATCTCGGATACCTTACCCATAAGAGTTGGAGAAAAATAAGATATAAATTTGATTTTTATTTTATTTTAAAAAATAAAGTCTCATCTCGGGGCTGGAGTGATAGCACAGCTGGTAGGGCGTTTGCCTTGCACATAGATCTGACCTGAGTTCGATTCCCAGCATCCCATATGGTCCCCTGAGCACTGCTAGGGGTAATTCCTGAGTGCAGAGCCAGGAGTAACCCCTGTGCATCGCCGTGTGTGACCCCCCCCCCAAAAAAAAGTCTCATCTCTTCCTGCAGGTCTCATGCATTCATTTCTCTAATGTCCTTCCTGATCTTTTCACTCTCAGAAACTGTATTTCTCAGAAAACATGGAACAATATTTTGAGTTAAAAACAAAAACCTATGGGGGCTAGAGCGATAGCACAGCGGGTAGGGCGTTTGCCTTGCACCCAGCCAACATGGCCGACCCTGGTTCGATTCCCAGCATCCCATATGGTCCCCTGAGCACTGCCAGGAGCAATTCCTGAGTGCATGAGCCAGGAGTAACCCCTGAGCATCGCCGGGTGTGACCCAAAAAGCAAAAAAAAAAAAAAAAACTATACAGCAAAAGAACCCATATCCCAGTTCCACCCACAAAAGGCCCATAAGTGGGTAAAGGTGCTTGCCTTGCATGCGCTATCCTGAGTGTGATGCTCGGCACCCCATATGGTCCCCTGAGCATCCTATATGATCCCCTAATCATCCCAGGGTCCCCTGAACACCACTCAGAGTGATCCCTGAGCACAAAACCAAGCAGTATTCCCTGAGCACCGCTGGGTGTACCCACCCCACCCCACCCTTAAAAAAAACAGCCGAGAAGGCAAAAGGAATCCTAAGATATTTTCAAGAATCAGGAGAGAGTGAATGAGAAGGGACGCGGGGAAGGGCCATGTAATCAGAAAAAACAGTGGATGATTCTAAGAATCACATCTAAAAAGACCAAAACGTTGATCTGGAAGCCGCTGCGAACTTCCCCTCTGCAGCTGAATGGGCTTTCAAGTCGTGTCCGCGTTAGGATCAGCAAGTGGCTATTTAGGAACTGGGGGGTGGGGAGTGGAGGGGCCATTTCCCGGGCGGCCCTACTGCAATCAATCAATCAATCAATCAATCAATCAATCAATATACTGCAAGAGGCTGGTCCATTTCCCTGGATGCAAAAGGGACGGTCCCAGCAAGCAGGGCTGGTCCGGCCTCCACTCGCGGCCCTGCGCCTGCAGTCACAACGTGGACCGAAGGTGGACCTCGCAGTCACCGCACGATGGGCATCCGGGGGGCGGGGCGCCCCGAAACTGCCCCAAGTCCAGAGCAAAGCTCAGCGCCCTCTCCCCGTGCCGAAGGGGCACCTGGACGGAAACCCCGCCCGCCGCTGCTCCCTTCCCGCCCTCAATCCTCGGGGACCCCCGCAAACCCCCCCTCCCCTGTCCACGGGGCCACCCTGGAGAAAAGGGGCCCCCGGGTCCCGTGCTCCGCGCTCTCCGGCCGCGCCACCCGACAGGGGCCACCCGCACCCCTCCAGGCCCCGGCGCCCACGGGCGGGGCGCGGAGTCGGGGGGTCTGCACGCCCCGCACCCCCGGCCTCTTACCCCGCCGCCCGCCAAAGGCCGGGACTCGCGGCCGCAGCGGCTGCCCGGAAGAAACGCGCCTGCGCGCTCGTGCCCGCCACCGCCCGCCGCCGCCGTGGCCTTCCGCCGCCGCGCGCGCTCCCGCCGCGGCCGCGCGCCCTGCGCGAGAGCGAGCACGTCGTGCGTGCGGGGCGGGGCGGGGTAGAGGCGCGCGGCTGGGGCGGGGCGGGGAGCGGCGGGGCGGGGCGGGGCGGGGCGCGAGCTGCTGCTGCAGCCGCCTCCGCTACTGCCGCTCCCGCCGCTCCCGCCGCTCCTGCTCCCGCTGCTGGCACCCGCGCGGCCGCGCCCCGGGTTCGGCCCGGGGCACGTGGAAAGCCCCTTGCTCCTCTTTCCTGGGAGCGGGGCCAGGGCCCGAGCGGCTGCTTAGTCCACGGATTCCTGTCCGGGGCGCGCCCTGGCTAGCTCTTGGCCCGCCTCGCTCTGGACCGTAGGTCTCCCTTGGAGCCCCTAAGGGCAGCGGGTTCCATCCAAGTCCGGCAAACCCCAGGCACGGGGGAGAAGAAAATCTGCAAAGACTGAGGAACCGCTTCCTAGATGAAACGTTACTTTACACACACTCTCGCACACACGCACACACACACCCGAACCGTTCCAAGACGCAATGGGTTGGGCCAAAAGAGCCTCCCTGCCCTTGAGAATTGTCAGCTCACCCCCGACCCCAATAGGGAACCTTGGATCATCGGTTCCCAAACTTGCCCCCAAATAACCGCATCCCCCTCGGTTCAGAGATCCCAGCCCGCCCCTGGCAGAGCCCCTCCCCTCCTCGCTGTTGCGTGTAAACCAAAGTCATTTCTAGTCCGGGGAAATGGGCAGATATTGGCCCCTGGATTTGGCTGTAGACGCCAGAGGGTCCAAACGACTCTGCATCTTTGCATCTTCAGTGACTCATCAGTGAAGCAAGTGAGGAGGGCGGCTCAAAACCACAGTCTACTCCAAAGATCATGCACATCATACACAGAATTAAGGCCCAAGCCCCTGTCCTCCAGTGAGGACTTAGTCCTCACTGGAAAGAAATTTCCATGCATAGACAGCATGTGAGCAATCGAAGGAGCACTGCTAACTGTGGGGTTATTAGTATGTAGGCATTAAGCACTGCAGGAGTTCATTTAAGAAATGCCAGGAAATGCCTAGAGAAGTAGGTAGTGCTTTGGTTTTGGTTTTGGTTTTGAGGCCATACCTGCAGGGCTCAAGCTTACCAATGGCTCTGATCAGAGAGGACTCCTGGCAGACTCTGGGAACCCCATGGATTGAACCCCCATAGGTCACGTGCCAGGCCAGTACCTTGTCCACTGTACTATGACTCCAACACTGAGGCCCCTGAGATGACTTAAACCAAGAGGATGGTGGGGTAGGAATCTGGACAAAGAAAATGGCTCAAACGGAATTGTAATAGTTGAAAACGTGCAGACCATTTCCTCCAGTGGTGAGGGTGGGAGATGATTTTGGGAAGAAATAATTGTGGAGTCAGGCCTATAGTAGAGTAGTGGAGAAACGTTTAAAGTGGTGAGTTACATAGATGACATCAAAGGAAGAGGTCAAAATCATTGCAGTTCATGCAGAATTCAACAAGACCCTTAGTAGATCTGATCCGTGCAAGAGAACACACCAGTGTGGGTGATAGACTAGCAACTGAGAGGAGAGGGGAAAGTCAAGGACGGCATCCA